ATTTTTTATATATTTTATATATATGGTATTTGTGAAATATATAAATATAATAAATATATGAAAAATTGATGTGGGTACTCAAATGAAAGGTCTCGTTGAGTATAATATCAGAGTGAGCTTATATCTTTAAAAATGTCAATAGTTGACAAGATACAATGTAATTTCTTAATTATTGACATTTTTTATTATATAAACTCATTTCGGTGTTACATTTATCGAGACCTTTCATTTAAGTACCCACATGACATTATTTATATATTTTATATATATAGTATTTATGAAATATATAAATATATAAAATATATAAAAAATTGATGTGGGTACTCAAATGAAAGGTCTCGAGGAAAGTAACATCGGGATGAGTTTATATTTAAAAAATGTCAGTATTTGACAAGATACAAGATCTTTGCAATGACACTAAATTTCAATACAAAAAACTGATTTTATCCGACTATTCTAAAGACAAAGTTTTTTTTTATTCTCTTAATAATAAAATTATTTCACGCCCTCAATTTTTTGCCGTCGAAGAAATTTTATAAAAAAATTTGAAAGTCTTTCTAGTGAAAGTTTTTAAATCTCAGATTTATTGTTAAAGATCAGTCACTTTGCCGTCATGAATCATGTAAGTAATGTCAATTATTATGTTTACTATTTATTATTCAACAATATAATTTATGTTAATATTTTTGTTCTTTTAGATCAAGAAGCTATTGTTTATTTTAATTGTAATTATGGCGATAAGCAACTTTGAAGGTAAGAAAAAATAATTTAATTATCAATTTACTTACTCTTAATTAATAATATTTTTTAGCAAGAAAATATGTTGGAGGTCCTGTGTTCTCTTTTGTAAAAACAGACAAAAATGCCAACATAAAATGGGGAGTGCGTCATTATGTTCCTCGTAAATATTATTAATTTGATATAAAAATATTTATTTCTTCATTAACAATAGATAAAAAATTTATATATCTTAATATTAAATAAAGTTTATATTTAATAAAAATTTACTCGTCTGATTTTGTTAGATCAGCAAATTTTGATTTTAAAGAATCCATTTCTGTTAATAAACTTCCAAGCCTGGAAAAAATAAAATCAAATAATGAAATTTCATAATTAATAATTAAAATTTAATTAATATACTTACATATTAGCAATAAAAATAGAGTTATAAATCACAGTATCAGTATCATCAATCGATGTATTTATTATTTTAGACTGCGAAGTTGAACAAGCAGGACTAGCTTCGTGTAAAATTTCAACTTCTTGCCTTATTTTAGTCAACTCTTCGTTGTAATTATTTAAAAGCGCTTTAAATGATTTAAGAACTTCTTTCAATTGAGATAATTGTTTTAAAAATTGAGTAATTTTACTGAAAATAAATCAATAAGTTTACAAAAAATTTTTTAAAAAATAGTTTTATAAAAATTCAAATACATACTTTTGAAAATGAACAAGCTGTTGGTCGCTCAATTTCTTCTCGCGTACTTTCAAAAACCTAAAAAACAATTGCACCGTCTCAAAAGGTGACCGCGGGGTATTTCGGTCAGCAATCAGTAAAGTATTGACTAAATATTGCGCTTGATCCAGCGGCTCTTCGATACCTTCCATCCAATTAATCTCCACGAATTCTTTAAATTTTTCTTTATCTTTCGCAAGAACATCAAATTTCTTCTTCATTTTCTTCTTCTGTTCCAAGAACTTTCCAATTTTTCCTTTCAATGCTTCAAAGCTCTCATATGTTTTTCCTTCTGTATTCTTAATCAACGCTTTTGTCTCGTCTAGACTTTTCACTAATTTTTCAACTCCCGAACTCAGTTCTTCAATTTCATTATTTACAGAATTAAATTTCTTGCTAGAAAAGTCTCTGAAAAAATTATTTATTTAATTATATACTATAATATGTTTATGTAAAGTTAATTTAGTAATTTTATAAAAATAAAAATTTAGAATTTTAATGTTAAAATCAGAAAAATATTTAATATTGTTTTTTGATTTACATAATATAATTAATTTATTTATTTATTTGTGCAGCAAGCTCAATTTTAAAAAAACTTTAACAATAATAATTAAAAAAAAAAAATATTTTTAATTAACTTACATCATTATACTCATAGCTAATATGTAAGTCCGATAAATTTCAATCTGCTTTCTCACAAAAAACATTATCGCTCCACAGTATGACTTTGCTTGATAATAATTAAATTTTTTCCTTGGCTGAGCTAGAGCTTCATTAATGCAATTATAAAATTTCTGATCAGATGTCTGATTAAGACTCAATTCATTACTAAACACCATAATTACGTCCTGCAACCACAAATAATTAACAATTATTTATAATTTTATTTTCAATTAAAAAAATTCTTACGCTTTTTTTCCAAGATTGATCATCTAAAATATTCCCCATAGTATCAGTCAAACTCTGACAATTGACTTCAATTTTTTCTTTATTAAATATTAAAAGCTTCAATTCATCAATAGTCATATTTGAGTCTACAATGTAGGATTCAAATTTATAATGTGGAACAATAAAAAGTTCGGTAACCTAAAAAAAAAAAATAAATCAACATAATTTTAAGGTTAATAATTTTTTTAAAAGAAATTTATGTTGGTATACCTTTTTATCAAAAATTTCCTTTAGTTTGCTGAAGACTACGAGGTCTTCTTTAATTTTTCCTCGCCTTCGTGGATCCCATTGCAATACTAAGCGAAACCATTCGATTAAATCATTTTTTATGCATCTAAAATATCAACCAAAAATTTTTAAGTGTCTTAAGTAGTTTACAAAGATAGAAAATAAATTGTAAAATAAAATAATTACTTAGGAATCGTACAAGGATCGTCAATGTCCTGGCTAAAAACAATTTGATCGTTGATTGCACGCGCTGAAATGTCTTTGTAATTTTTCTTCCTTATCAGATCCATCCTAAAGAAGAAGTATTATTTTCTTCCTTGATTTAAAATTCAAGCTCTTCAAGGTAAATATTAATATTAAGCAAAGAAATTATTTAAAAATTTACCAGGTCGTGGTAATTTGCATGTGAGGTAAAAAAGGTCTGATACCAGTAATTATTTCATAAAATAAAATTCCAAGACTCCAATAATCGACAGAACAGCTGTACGATTCTTTCCAAAGTAACTCTGGCGCTAAATAATTTAATGTACCGACAACAGAAGCTGCGATACTGGCATCACTTAGTTCTTTGGCGTATCCCAGGTCGATTAATTTATAAATCACCTACAAAACAGTTTTCCTTAATTTAATAAATAATTTAAATAAATAAAAGTCACTGATTAATTATTTACATTGCTACCAATTTGCTGCAACACAATATTGTCTGGCTTCAAATCCCTGTGAGTTATTTTCTCTTGATGCAGATACTCGACAGCTGAAGAAATATCATGCATTATTTTTAAAGCTTCTTTTCCAGGAACTCCGCAGACATTATCGCACTTGTTCAACATCTGAACACAAAAAATAAAATAATAATGATTCTGAGTGATGTAGTTATATATAATTGAAAGTAACTTACACTTCGTAAATCACCTTTTGTACAGTACTCCATACAGAGTATCGGTAAATCATTATCAACATTGTAATTTTCAAATTGCTTTGGCAATTGATTGGTGTTGATTATATTCGGGTGTTTTAATTTATTCATTATTAACACCTCATTTATCCAACGTTCTTTTTGCTTGTTGGTTAATATTTTTTTATCTATATGGCACTTTTTTATTGCTAAAAATAAAAATTTAATTTAATATGACCTTAAAATTAGCAATTACTTGACAATTTTTTAATTTATTCTAAACAAACAAATTTTTTCAGAAAAATTATTTTTAAGAAATTGCATTTTTTATTTTTAAAAATTTTTACAAGTCAAATTTTTTGTTATAATTTATTTGCTACAAAAATTATTAAAATTAAAGAAATATCTGCTAAATAAATTAATTTTTATAAATGACATTAAAGTAAGCAGTCACTTGACAATTTTTTTTTTAACAAACAAATTTTTTCAAAAAAACTATTTAAACAAAATTGCATTTTTAATTTTTTTTTTTAATTCCTACACATCAATTTTTTTTGGCTTAATTTATTTGTTAAAAAAATTATTTAAATTTAATAAATTAATTTTTATAAATTACATCAAAGTTAGTAGTCACTTGACAATTTTTTCTTAACAATTAAATTTTTTCAAAATTCTACATGTCAATTTTTTTGCCATAATTTATTTGTTAGAAAAATTATTCAAATTTAATAAATATGTGTTACATAAATTAATTTTCATAATTTAATCAAGAGTATAAAAGAAAATTTTTATTTACATAAAATAATAATAATAGTAATAATAATAATAATAATAATAATAATAATCTGGTATCTATTGTTGATTAAATTAAAAACCAAAATGTCAAAGGTTACCTATATTTTGATTTTCATTCTGCCATAATTCTACAGTACCAAAAGCACCACGCCCCAAAACTTTTATCAATTTCCATTCTTGTGACATAATTATTTTTTCCTAAAAAATGAAAAAATTCCATTAATCTATTTATTTATTTCCTTAAAATTTACTTACAATAATAATACTTAGAAAAATAAACAAAATAACTCCGACTGACTGATCGCTTACTTCGCAAAAGTGACACCAGGTGGCGAAAACTTAAAAAGTAACGAAAAATTTAAACAAGAACTTCATCTGGGAACTGGCATCAACTTCACTTGCATATCCTATCGATCAAACAATCAGTATTTATATTTAAATAAAAATGTCCATATCATTGAAAAATGTCCGACTGAAACAAAAATCAAAAAAATCTGACAGAGCTCAAAAAGGTGACCTGAGAATTTACGACGAGGAAGGTAATGATGTGACACCAAGACCCTTGGTGCATGAATATTATGCTCGCGTAGAAGATCCAAGCAAAATCTTCAACTGGGATGCACTGACTCTGAAACCTACCTCCAGTTCTCTTGAAGTTCTGAGCCCGGTTCGGGATTATCAGTCGAGTTCATCTTTAATTAAAGCTCCTTCGTTGATCACTACAAATTTGCCGTTTGAAGAAACTATGGAGAGCTTGATGTCTATCTGCACTGAAGATTCGAGGAATCTTGATGATGCTGACCGGGCGCCGTCCCCATTTTGCTTACCCAGGTATGAAAATTAATTCAGCAGATATTTTATAATTGTAAGATTTTTTTAACAAAATGAATTATGTCAAAAAAATTGATTTTTAGAAAGTTAAAAAAAATAAAAAATGCAATTTTTTAGAAATAATTTTTTGGAGCAAATTTATCTATTAAAAAAAAAAAATGTAAGTAAAAAATGGTTACGCGACTGCTAATTTTAATGTCACTACCCAGGTATATAATGAATTATATTAAAATTAGCAGACAAAAAAATTTTTGAGACTAAAATCAGCATGAAATTAATTTAGCATATTAATATATTTGATAATTATAGGAATTTTTGTAACAAATAAATTATTTAAAAAAAATGATATTAAAGTTTGCAGTCTCTCGATAATTTTTTAATTTTCTTTAACAAAAAAATTATTGTTAAAAAATTGCATTTTTAATTTTTTTAAATTTCTACATGTCAATTTTTTTGCTATAATTTATTTGTGATTAATTTTAGTGTTGATCCAGTTTGCCAAATTTCCCCTGAGAAGATGACAATATTACTGAGAGAAACAGAGACATTTTTTCTGTTTGACATGCCGCAACTCACTGCTGATTTGGACACACCAGAGGGTCAAGCAGTGAAAGAAGCTAACGAAAGATATGAGTATATAACCAAAGGAGAAGGTTCTAACCGGAGGGTAGTTGAAGCAGAGGCACAGACCACCAAAATTTATACCAAGTCTAGGTCCACTTATTTGGGAAGAAAGAAAAGAACCAACAAGGGCACTTTTGTCAACAATTGGGTTTTATATGATGCTTATAATTCTGCTAATACAATTGATAATGAAGATGGAGAGAATACTAAGAAAAATTTGGTAAATTTTTCGAGTACTAGTCTAATTTAATCAATAATTTTTATGATTGAAAGTTTTTATATTGAAAAAATTATTATAAAGGAATTAAAAGAAAAAATTTCACATCTGTGAGATTTTAAAAACTATACGTGCAATTTTTTTTAAGTATTTTTTTACTGCAATTCAATTGTTTTAATTTAATAATTGATAAGTTATAAAAATCCCAAGAGCTGTAAAAAAATCATTAAGTTTTTTTGTCAGTATTTTAAAAATAATATTTAAAAAACAAAATTTTTTTTTCAATTAAAATTCTTAAGCTCAAAAATAATGATTAATAATTATTTTTAAGTCTAATTTCTTCTTAGTAATTTTAAAAATTATTTTAGTCCATCTAAAACTTGACAAACTTAAATCAAATAAACTCTATTATCAATTTTAGATCCAGAGTATATTTTCAAAGCCGATTCCAAAAGATTCATCTCCAACTGAAGATCCCTTAGCCGAATTATACAAAAAAGACTCCTTTGCATCAGCAGCTCGAATAATGGAGCGAATAATCGCGAGCAAGTTCTACATAGTTCCTCAGAAGAGATTCAAAGGCTTGATAAAAAAAGACCCTTGTGACCTGGACTTGGAGTTTACTTACAGCTTGGACCTCCTTTGGACCCACGTTTGCCCTGAAGTCCAGGGTCGACCAGTAAATTGCCTTCGCTGGAGCTATAAAAACGACAACTTGCTAGCAGCTGGTTACGGGTCTGCTCCAGAGGAGTCCAACGACTCCTCCCGAGGACTTCTGCTAATCTGGTGCATAAAGAACCCCAGTCAGCCTGACCGAGTCTACAAATTCGACTCAGCTGTTTCAGATTGCGACTGGAGTCGCCAGAAGCCGAACCAACTGGCCGTGGGGTTCTACGACGGAACTGTCAAGGTAATGAAAATTAATTTAGCAGACATATTTTAAAATTTTAAAAATTTTTGTGACAAATTATTGCAAAAAAAAATTGACATGTAGAAATTTAAAATAATTTTTTTTAACAAAAATTTGTTTGTTAAAAAAAAAATTAAAAAATGGTCAATTTTTAGGACATCGAATTTCTTGAAAATTAACATACTTATAGAAATTAAAAAATGCAATTTTTTTAAAATAATTTTCTCGAACTGCTAACTTTAATATCATGTCAAGGTAATAGACGTGAGCAGCAGAAGCCTGAGAATAATTCACAAAAGCACTAGAGAAACTTGTCCGACTTATTGGCCACACTGGCAGGTCCAGTGGTGGCTGGACAACGATCCACTGGACCCGCTGGTCTCTAATCAAGAGTTAATTTACTCCAGCAACCAGGATGGGTCAATTTTCTGCTTCGATGCCTCCAAAGATTTTTCAGCGAAAAAAATCATGACCATTCCTAGAATAGAAGACAAAATTCCAGGGATAAAGCGGACAAATTCCAGCGGGTGTCTCTACGATGTTCCCATCAGCAAAAATCCAGGAGTTCTGTTGCTGCGCCAGCATCCAACAGCCAGCAACATCTACTACGTGGGTTCTGATGAAGGCTGCGTTTATCGTTGCTCGACAAATTACCTGAGTCACCACCTGGATAATTTTCTAGCTCACAATGGTCCATTTTACTCGCTGGAGTTCTCGCCCTTCTGCCCGAAGATCTTCTTGACCTGCGGAGCTGATTGGAGCACTAGAATCTGGGCAGACGGCATCACTGATCCCCTGCTCACGCTTTCGACCAGCATGGCCTGTGTCCAGGCGGCTTGTTGGAGTCCTAGTAACTCAACGGTGATCGCAACTTGCGTTGGTAATGAAATTAATATCTGGGACTTGAAGCGCCGCACTCACAGGCCCACTTCTGTTACCGTTTTACCTACAGATCAGCGGCTGATGCTTCTGGAGTTTACGAAAACTGGGAACCAGTTGGTTGCTGCTGATCTTTCAGGGAAGATTTTTATTTATAATCTAGAAGGCATGCCTTTTCCACCGTTTGAACAGACGATGGTATTGGTGGAGGCTATTGAGAAGAGTTTGACTATTAAACCGGAGTTGTTGAAGAAACTTCGGAAACTGGGATCTCCTTTTTGATTTTTTAAAAGAGAGAATTTTAATTAATTTGTATGGTTTGATTTTTTTAATTATTTAATGGCTAACGGAGTAGCAATAAATTAAACTAGCAACCTTGCAGTCACTACGTGACTGCTGAGGCTGATACACTATAAATAAATGAAATTTTGCTATATAAATAATAAATTTTGGAAAATTGAACTGGACTTTCTAAAATATTAATGGTTTTAAATATATAAGCTCATCCTGTTGTTACACTCATCAAGAGCTTTCATTTGAGTACCCACATGCATTATTAATATATATTTTTTATATATACATATATGTAATATATATAAATATATAAATATATGAAAAATTGATGTGGGTACTCAAATGAAAGGTCTTGATGAGTTTAACATCAAGATGAGCTTACATCTTTAAAATATATATTATATATGTATGCATATATATGAAAAATATATCAAAATTGTAAATTATTGGAATTTTTGAAAATATAAGCTCACCTCGATGTTATACTCATCAAGAGCTTTCATTTGAGTACCCACATGCATTTTTTATATATTTTTCATATATACATGTATATAATATATAATATATATATAAATATATAAAAAATTGATGTAGGTACTCAAATGAAAGGTCTCGATGAGTGTTACATCGGAATGAGCTTATATCTTTAAAAATGTCAATAGTTGACAAGATACAAGGTCATTTCTTAATTGTTGACATTTTTAAAGATATGAGCTCATCCCGATGTTACACTCATCAAGAGCTTTCATTTGAGTACCCACAAACATTTTTGGTATATTTTTCATGTATATACATATATATAAATATATGAAAAATTGATGTGGGTACTCAAATAAAAGGTCTTGATAAGTGTAATGTCGGAGTGAGCTTTTATATCTTTAAAAATATTAATAGTTCATAAGATACTAGGTCATTTCTTAATTATGTATCTAGATACAAGATAGAGGATTTTTGAATGCAGCCTAAATGTTTTTATCTTAATAATAGCTTTCGAAGAAAAACTCTTCCTTCCAATTGGAAATAAAAAATATAATATAAAATATTTGTAAGACTTATAAATTAATCAGAAGGAATAGACGTCTGAAATGAAAACAGAGTAGATAATTTTTTTGTTACTTTAATCATTTGATAAGAATTATACATAAAGAAAAAAGACTTATATGATGCCGATTTTGTTGGCAACATCCAGTGCGTCGTAGTCACGGGCGAGACGGACGTAAGCCTTCTTAATTCCATCGGGTCTGATCAAAGTATTTACTTTTGCGACGTCGATGTCGTACAACTTTTTCACGGAGGCCTTGATGTGGTGTTTGTTGGCTTTCGTGTGAACAATGAAGACCAGGGTGTTGTTGTCTTCGATTTTCTTCATCGCAGCTTCCGTTGTCAACGGGAACTTGATGACATTGTAAGCATCCATGCTGTAAGAAATCATCGGATTAATATCATCAACAAATTTTATTATTTCACGCCGTTAATTAAATAATCAATCAATACAGTTGATTATAAATTAATAGCGAAATATTATGAATGTAAAAAATTAGAAAGATAAAAAACATACCGGTTTCTGTTAGGAACCGACTTCCTGGGGTACTTGGGGTTTCTTGGCGGTCTGAAAGTCTTCGGCCTGTGGAAGTGTACCGAGGTACGGATCTTACGGACACGGGATCCATGAACACCCTTCAAAACCTGCAGTCATACTCTTATTAGTAACCAATTCGACAATTAAACTAATTTTAAATGATTAATTTGATGATTGAAATAAAAAAATTACCTTCTTCTGGGTCTTCAGAGCCTTTTGCAAAGGCGCTGCCTTTCCTCCCTTGGGGATTTTTTTGGCAGCATGTTTAACTACCTTGGGCTTGGCAGTCACAGGCTTGGCTGCTGGCTTAGCAACTGGCTTCGCTGCCGGTTTAGCTGCAGCTTTAGTGGCTGCAGTTTTGGGTGCTGGTGCTGGTTTCTTTGATGAACCAGGCTTAGTAACCTTTGACGCTGTTGCAGCGGTCGCTGGTTTTTTCTCCTCCTTCTTCTGGGTTTTCTTTTCAGCCGAGCTTCCAGCCGCTAAAAGTAAAAAATTTATCATTAAATTATTCAAAAACTTATTATGTTATCAATTCAATATAATTTCCTAAATATATAGTAATTTTTTTTATTTACTATTAATAATTTACAATAATTAAAATTATCATGAATCATCATAAAAAAAATAATTATAAATAAAAAAAAAAAAATTACATTCATTTTAAAAATGTTTATCGTTACATATTTTACTTAATTTTGCAAAAATTATTAAAATTAAAAAAAGATTCACTAGTTTAATTTATATAAAAGGTTAAACATGCGCCATGTGACACATGTTTTTTTTGGTTAGCCACTACCATCACATTACTTTAAAAATTCACATTTTTTTACAAAAATTAACTAAAAAAAAAATCAAATAAATTAATTCATTAACTTTTTCACTTGTTAATAACAATAATTATCATACTATTTTGCAAACTCACCAGCTTTTTCTGTAGGCTTCGGCTTTGGAGCCATTTTTTATCGTTGTCACTAAAGAAAAGGACTCTAAACTCTAAACAAGTTTTCTAGTTAGACTACCGACCACGTGGCCCGTTGATCAGCTGAAAAGCTGAAATATCACCTGGGGAATTTTTCGAATGTCAATCAACAATTAATGACTAAAAAGACTCATAAAAACAAAATTTTTTAAAAATAAATTTTATTACTCTTCAATTTAAATAAATAGTTTAATTTTTTTTAATAAATCTAAGATATTATCTTAATTTCAATTCGCGTCTAAAGCGCCGCTTGTCGAGAAACATTTAGCGCGAATTTTTAAATTTTTTAGATTCTTCATTTTTAATCTAGATAACATTAAAGTTAGCTGTTACTTGACAAATTTTTAATTTTATTTAACAATTAAATTAATTCTAAAAAATTATTTAAAAAAAATTGCATTTTTAATTTTTTTTAAATTCCTCCATGTCAATTTTTTTTTCTTATTTTTTTTGCCATAATTTATTTGTTGACAAAAGTTCTAATAATTATTGAATGCCCGCTAAATTAATGACATTTAAATCTAGATGATACCAATCTTGTTGGCGACGTCCAGGGCGTCGTGTTCCTCTGTTAGACGTACGTAGGCTTTCTTGTCACCTCCTGGTGAATTAGTAACATTAATAGCAGCTACGCTGACGTTATACAATTTTTTGACCGATGATTCGATGTGATTTTTATTCGCCTGGCGGTTCACAATGAAGACCAAGGTATTGCTATCTTCTATTTTTTTCATCGCTGACTCCGTTGTTACTGGGTATTTAATTACATTGTAAGAGTCAAGTCTGGAAATTAATTTAAATAATTTTTTTATTAAAATTTTTTTTTCTAGACGTCTAATTACTCTTCAGAAATATTTATCTACAGTAATTTTATTTTTTTTTAATTCCAAATAAATTATTTGAAAATTAAACTGAAATAATTTTGAGTGTAATTTATTTGAAAAATAAATTAAGATCAATTGAATCTTTTATAAAAATTTCATTAATTATTTTTTATAATTTCTACTTGTAGAATTTTTTTTGTATTTAATTAATTAATGAATAAAATTCTAAAAATTGACAGATGTCTCCATATTTCAGTATCAAATTAGCAATTAATTTTTATAAAAAAATTTTAAAAATCATCAAATATTTGTTAAATTACTTTTCCTAAATTTTTTAAATAATAGCTAACTTAATTTTCACATGTGAAATTTTTTTTTCATAACAATTCAATTGCTGTAAAATTATTAAAAAATTTTTAATATCTGTTAACTTCATTAAAATTAATTTAGCAGACGTTTTTAAACCTAATTTTTCAGAACAAATTTATTTGTTAAATAAATTATTAAATATCTGCTAAAATTAATTTTCATAATAGAGTAAATGAAATTCTAATTTTTTTAATTAAAACTTACTTGTTGCGAATAGGAATTAATTTGCTAGGATATTTTGGATTTCTTGGCGGCTGTGAAGTTTTTGGTGTATTAAAATGAACAGAAGTTCTAATTTTTTTTGAGCTACTTGACATCTAAAAAAATGAAAAAAAAATTAATAACATTTCTATTATTGTTATCGTCAATTAAAAATTGTACTAAAATTGGCAGACATTATTATTATTATTATTGTTACAACAAAAATTCAACAATCCTTACTTTGTTTTGAGTTTTTAAACCTTTCATCAAACCTAAAATAAAAATAAAATTAATTACCATGTTTTCAAAATTAAATTAATAACTTATGATTGAATAAAAAAAATACCTGAGTTTTCCATAATTTTTTTAATTTTTAGGTTACAAAACTTTAACCATATGTTTATTCTAACAAAATTCTTTAACAAATATTACGAAGAGTAAAAAAATAACAATAAGTAAGTTTTTATTAATTAACAAAATTTTCATTTGTGTACACATTCACATTTTGACATTTTGATGTTTGTTATTGATGAAACTCCGTGCGGCACGTATTATTTCTTAAAGTCACGGACGATGTTTCAAATTTGGCGATTTTCCGTGACTGTAACACCGTGTAAATAGCCAGTTTGACATTCTAAGATGAAAACAATAACAGATTCAGGAAAATTTGTATAAAATTGTAAAATTTGATAAAATAAAGTTTATTTTTAATAATAAATTAAAAATTATAGAAATTCCAATTATTAATCTATAAAAATTACCGAAAGTTTATGTCGCAAAAATGGATACTGATAATTCTTCATTTAAAATGACAGATTTCAAAGTTGAAAATAATAAAGAGGTAAAAGAATTTAATTTTTCAAAGTTCAAAAGTTTTAAAAAATATTTTTTAAAAATTGCACGTGTAATTTTTAAAATTTTTTTCCATCAAGCAGACACCTGTCAATTTCTAGAATTTTTACATAAAATTAATAAAGATAAAAAAAAATTAGCACTTGTAATTTTTTTCAAATTCTATAGGTTAATTTTTTTATTAAATTCTTTATAAAAATTCAATTGTCAAAAAAAAAAAAAATAAAAAATTATTTGATGTTTGGTAATTTCACTAATTACTTAAGTATTTAATTAATACATTACTGATTTTATTTTCTAATAATTTTATTTAAAAAAAAGAAGGTTAATTTGATCAAAGAAAATTAATGACAAGTATAATTTTTCCTGTTTAAAATTTCTAGGATTGCCAAATTGATGATCAACAAAATAACATCTGTCCAGAGTATCCAATCGATATTGAGGAAATAAAACTAGAAGAACCTCGTAACAATTCACCAATTTCCGATCAAGATATTGAGATCATTCCCGGTATGATTTTTAAATCCTTAGACCAATATTTATAATACAAACATTATTACTAAATAAGAAAAAATATATTTAAAAAAATTGTTTTTTTTTTTTTAATTTCCAGGCATGGAATTTTTTTGCAAAATTTTTTTTCATTAAAATTTGTAATAAAAATTTAAAAAAATTATTAGAAGTCTACTAAAATTTATTATTATTAATATTTAATTTTTTTGACAGCTGATGAAGATCAAAACAAAGGAAAGACAAGCTCAAAAAATCGTACCACAGTTCCTCGTAATAAAAATTGTCAATACCGAAAAACCTCAATTGCAATATCAAGAAAGAGTCTTGCAGTAATTAATAATCAAAAACCCAAGCTGTTTACTTGCGAATTTTGCAGTAGGAATTTCTTATTAAAGAAAAGTTTGGACAAGCACGTGACGATTCACACAGAAAAAAATATTCACACTTGTATCATCTGTTTGCGTGAGTTCACTCACTTGGATGATCTCCGTCATCATATGTTGAGTCATACAGAAGAAAAAAATCCTCCTAGAAAACTCTTCATATTTAATTGTGATGTTTGCTCCAGAAAATTCCAATCTGTTCATCATTTAAATCGACACATGATGGGACACTTGGAAGAAAAACCTCTGGCTTGTGGTGTTTGTAAAGCGAGTTTCAAGTCCAGGACTCGATTAAATAGTCATTTAGCAACGCAAGCTGAAAGACAACCTCTCAAATGTCTGGTGTGTTCTGAGGTTTTTTGCTTGTTACATCAACTTAATAAACATGTCAGAATTCACACGCGAACATAGTCGAAATTTTATAGAAGAATTTTGGAAGTTAATAAATAATAAATAATAATTTATATTTTATTGGAGAAGAAAAGTGTAATTTATTTCTTGGTAAAAAAATTTTTTATAATTTTAAAAATTCCATCTATAAAAGCTCTAAAAAAATTATAAATGTAATTTTTTAAAAATAATTTTCTAGACTCAGTTTATATTTAAAGAAAAATAAAAAAAATTTTTAAGTGTGCAAATTTCAGTGAAATAATTAATTTAAAAAATACAGAAACTAATTTCATTTATGAAATTAATATTTACCTTAAATAAAAAAAAATTTTTTGAAAAATTATATTTCAAACTTTGATTACAATGACATTAAAGTTAGCAGAGTCACAAGAGAATTTTTTAATTTTTTTTAACAAACAAATTTTTTCAAAAAATATAATAATAAAGTTAGCCGAGATTTTTTATTTTTTTATTTTCCTTAATTTATTAAATTATAACTAGAAAATATTTTTAAAAAATTGCACTTATAGTTTTTGAAGTTTTTAACAAACGAAAAATTTTTTTTTTTTTATTTTTTTGTAATAATTCTTTAATATAAAAAATTATAAAATTTTTTAGATGTCGGCTAACTTTATTTTCATCAAAAAAACTACTTTTAAAAAATTGCATTTTTTATTTTTAAAAATTTTTACATGTCAATTTTTTTTCTAGTTTTTTTTGCCGTAATTTATTTAAAAAAAAAATTCTAAAAATTATTTTTATTTTCATTTGATTACAAACAAAATCTACCTTATCAACATCATCGATTATAAATTTAATCCAAACTGTAGGACTGTAAATATACGCTATAGTCACTGTTAATTTTTGTCCACACTGTAACTGTTTATGTTTACATTCCTAACGGGGTTTAGTTAAAAAAATGTCAATTGTAAATTTATTATCAGGAACTAAGTAGGTATTAATAATTAAAGATTTTTATTTTTTTTTTATTTATAAAATTAGAACTAAATGTATTGTTTTAAAACTGTACATAAAGTTTTTCAAGTTTTTTGCTAATGAAATGTCATATTTATTTTTTTGTTATAAATTTTTTGTTAAAAAATAATCTGACAATATTTAGATGTCGGCTAAGTTAATTTTAATTTATAAATAAAATATGGATGTAAATAGTGGTTCGTTTGAAGCAGTAGCTTGCAAAGTGGAAAAGAACGAGAAGGTAAAAATTAAGAATTTTTTAATTTAGAAATTATCAATAATTCAAAATTATATTGGAGTGTTAAATGATGATACTGAAATCAGGAGACATCTGACAATTTTTTAAAATTTTATTAGTCAAGATTAATTTATCAGATCTTTGATAATTTTTCTAATAAATTACTGCATATAAATTATTAATTTCTAATAATGCTATTTTTAAAAAATTTTTTAAACTTTTACTTTTAAAAATTTTTTTGTTAAATAAAATTAAAAAGTAGTGAAGTGACAGCTTATTTTAATATCATATTTTATTAAATATTAATTATATAAAAAAAAATTGTAATAGTTGTAAAAATCTAAAAAATTGACAAATGTCTTTTAATTTCTGTGTCATGTTAAATTTTTTTTTTTTAATTTATTATAATGAAACTAACTGTAGTATATTTTCAGGATACTCAAATTAATGAAAATTTGGACAATGGTCAAGAACGTGATTCTGATCAAGAGCATCCCATTAATATGGAAGAAATTAAAATAGAACCTGATGATACTGATAATACCGAGATTCCTGATCAAGATATGATTATTCCAGGTATGACGAATATTTTCTTAAACTACAAGATTTATGATACTGAAATCAGGTGATATCTGACAGTTTTTTCAAATTTTTATAACAAATCAATTATAATAAAAAAAATTATTTTTTCAAATTTACACTTGAATTTTTTTTCTTTTAATTTCTATTTAAGGAATTTCTCTTATTAGAATTTATTTGTCAGAAGAAATTTTCTAAAATTTATGATGTTAAAGTTAGCAATAATTTTGGTATCATTTAATTTTATTTAACAAATTTTTTCCGAAAAATTATTTTTTAAAGAATTGCATTTTTATTTTTTTTTTTTAATTTCTGCATGTCAATTTTTTTTTGCAATTATTTATTTGCTTTTATTAAAACTTACCAAATTTTTTGGTAAGTGCAACAAAACTCCTAAAAAAATTTCTAAAATATTGTAATTATTTAATTTTCAGGATTTGTCACAGTATACGTAGAAGAAAATAATTTTAACCAACCTGAATCGTTATCTATAAAAACAAAAAGCAATGGTCTAAAAAGTCGGGCTCGTAATAAATTCAATTATTACAAACTGGGACAGAAGCCGTATACTTGTGACATCTGTTTCTCGAATTTCAGTTCAAAAACTTACGTCAACCTGCACAAGCGAATTCATACAGGACAAAAACCCTACAGCTGTAAAGATTGCGCTATGACGTTTAGGTTCAGACAGGCTTTTGAGCAACATATAAGAATTCACACAAACGAGAAGCCTTTTAATTGTGATCTATGTTCTGAAACATTTCGTCAAAGGATTCAATTGCAAAGACACGAGCTGATGGTACACTTTAGAGTTTCTTCCAAAAGAAAAAGTTCAAACAAAAAAGCAGCGACCAAGAGGAAGATAACTACCAAGATTAAGAAGAAGCGAGTGGTGGAGATAAAAACGGAGAAATTATCTCCGATTAATTGAAATTACCAACTATTTATTTATAATGGCCAACGGTGTAGCAATAAATTAAATAATTTTAAGGAAATTTTTTTATCTTAATAATAGCTTTTGAATAAATGTTCTTCCTTCCAATTGTAAATAAAAAAGATAATATAAAATATTTATAAGACTTATAAATTAATCAGAAGGAATAGACGTCTGAAATGAAAACAGAGTAGATAATTTTTTTGTTACTTTAATCATTTGATAAGAATTATACATAAAGAAAAAAGACTTATATGATGCCGATTTTGTTGGCAACATCCAGTGCGTCGTAGTCACGGGCGAGACGGACGTAAGCCTTCTTAATTCCATCGGGTCTGATCAAAGTATTTACTTTTGCGACGTCGATGTCGTACAACTTTTTCACGGAGGCCTTGATGTGGTGTTTGTTGGCTTTCGTGTGAACAATGAAGACCAGGGTGTTGTTGTCTTCGATTTTTTTCATCGCAGCTTCCGTTGTCAACGGGAACTTGATGACATTGTAAGCATCCATGCTGTAAGAAATCATCGGATTAATATCATCAACAAATTTTATTATTTCACGCCGTTAATTAAATAATCAATCAATACAGTTGATTATAAATTAATAGCGAAATATTATGAATGTAAAAAATTAGAAAGATAAAAAACATACCGGTTTCTGTTAGGAACCGACTTCCTGGGGTACTTGGGGTTTCTTGGCGGTCTGAAAGTCTTCGGCCTGTGGAAGTGTACCGAGGTACGGATCTTACGGACACGGGATCCATGAACACCCTTCAAAACCTGCAATCATACTCTTATTAGTAACCAATCCGACAATTAAACTAATTTTAAATGATTAATTTGATGATTGAAATAAAAAAATTACCTTCTTTTGGGTCTTCAGAGCCTTTTGCAAAGGCGCAGCCTTTCCTCCCTTGGGGATTTTTTTGGCAGCATGTTTAACTACCTTGGGCTTGGCAGTCACAGGCTTGGCTGCTGGCTTAGCAACTGGCTTCGCTGCCGGTTTAGCTGCAGCTTTAGTGGCTGCAGTTTTGGGTGCTGGTGCTGGCTTCTTTGATGAACCAGGCTTAGTAACCTTTGACGCTGTTGCAGCGGTTGCTGATTTTTTCTCCTCCTTCTTCTGGGTTTTCTTTTCACCCGAGCTTCCAGCCGCTGAAAGTAAGAAATTTATTAGTAAATTAATTTTTTTTTTTAACGTCAAACTTGAATTAAATTTCTCATTAATATTCACAAAGTTGATTATTAAGTTCAACAATTATACATAAATAATTAAGTAATTGTTGTAAATATTTTTTGTAGAACCAAAATAGGTTATACACGCGCCATGTGACACACGTTTTTTTAACCAGTCATTACCAAGTGTCACCGTCCATATTAAATACCATTTTTTTACTCTAATTAATCGATTGACAGATCAGTTTTATATTACAACATTTTTTGACACTTGGTAGCCACTATTTTCATCATAAATATTCAATTAAATTACCAGATTTCGAAGTAGCCTTAGCTTTCGCCATGGTGTTATTATAAAAAGAAAGCTAATAGATTCAGGAAGTAGCTGCTGCTTTGACGGAAAACGTTAAAAATACTACCTTAATCGTTGATCAATTTAATAATTATTTTATAATACATAAAAAATATTTTTTAATCTTAACTAATAATTATTTTTATTAATAATAAACATAATTAATTGTTTTAAGTTAATTCATATTGTTATTTAAATAATTTAGTTGTTTTTTTCTGTCAATTCCAACTTGACCCGCCATCTGGCGGAGAAACTTAAGCGCGCTTTATTTGAAATATTTTTTAATTGTAGTTTTCATGTTTATTTATAAAATATTAAAATTAATTTTTTTTTTTTTAATTAATGCATTTAATTTAAAAAAATCAATAATAATAATTTTTCAGTAATTAAAATTAATTTAAATACTTAAATTAAATTAACATCTGTCAATTTTTTGGATTTTTATATCTAAGTTTAATTTAAAAAAAAAAATTATCAGCTGTTTTAGTAAAAAATAAAATTCTTTGTAACCTAAAAATTAAAAAAAAAAATTATCAGCTGTTTAAATAAAAAAATAAATAAATTCTAAGTGCAATTTTAAAAAAAATAAAATTTTTTTACAATTTAAAAATTTATAAAAAAATCAATTTTGCAATTTAAAAATTAACATAAAAATGATCAGCTTTTTTTCATTATCAATTTGAATAAAAAAGAGTGAAAAATGTCAGTGACAGATGACAGTTCAGCGCTGCTAGTCGCCCATCAGTGTCTTTCCCTAAATTTTGTAAACAATGTAAATAAAACCCCTTTAAATACCCAAATAATAATTAACAATTAAAAAAAGAGAAAAAATATGAAAACAAATTAATTTTATATAAAGTAAAGAAAAAACTAACCTTAAAAAAATTCCATAAGTGCAGTGATAATAAGTAAATATATTTTGAGTAATTAATAATGATTGAATCACCAGGATGGAGCACGGAGAGAGACAAGGAGATCCACAAAGCCGCAGGGAATGTCCAGCTGCGTAAGTACAACAAATTATTCAACCGGCTGAGCGAGGAATGGTTTGAAAGCTCATCATCACTGAGCTACATGCTAGAAGGTCCGATCCGTCTGGTCTGTCACGGGAATGAAGAGGACACTCTGTTGTCTTTAGTAGAAATGGAGAACAAGAACCTGTCAAAATTATTGGCGACTGTCGCAGCGACGTGCCGCGAGATTCGCCTGCTGAAGCAGGAGTCTCAGGAATTTTTTAAGAAATTATTTAATCATGGTGAGAAAAGCGACTCAGACATCGAGACAAATAATTTTAATGCTCTGCTAGCTGATTTCCAGGAGCTGTCTTTGTATATTAACAGAGTGATGACTGTGGTGAGTCTGACAGTTCAGCACCTGGGGAGTTTGACGTCTAGTACCAATGAAATTTACCTACCAGCGCTGATAGAGCACTTGGTGGACTGCTTCGTGGTCCTGGTGACCCTGGATGAGATCGTGGACTCCTTGCCGATGATTGTCGAACAGTGGAAGAAGTACCGGGTGCAAGTGAGGTCAGTGATGCATAATCCTGGGAAGTTTGCAGTGTCTGAGGCGAAGCTGCTGACGTTTGACAGGCTGCTGAAGGACTTGCATAATCAGCTGTTGACTAAAAGTTTGTTTGTCAAGGCGGTGGATTATGTAATGGATGTGAAGAAGAGCCCGGTGATGAATGATCATCTTGTTAGTTATTTGAAGAATCTTCTGAGTGATATTGAAGCCAAGATCACTAGTGTTTATTTGATTAATAAGTAAGATTTTTTTAAATTAAATTTAGTATCATTGGAAAGATGATCTGAATTTGTGCCTTAAATGTTTCATTCCTTTTTTTAAAATTGTTAATTTATTATGATAAGTTTTCCAAGTAGTTATAAATAGATTAGAGTTTCGCGATAAACAAAATTTATTTATTTATTTTGTTTTGTACAAGTCAATGTGGTTGTATGTCAAAAATTAATTTATATAATTAAGAGACTAAGAAAAATTTTTAACGGGTATATCTTTATCGTAAATTGGGTTTGATATTTTTTCAGCGATAGTCATTTATGATTTAAATAATTGAGAGAGTAAGGAAAATTTTGTGACGAGCGTATTATTATTTTTAAAGGAATTTTTATAGTTTAATTTGGTATCATCCGAAAGGTCTTAATAAGAATTAGTGCCTTTTGGTTTTATATATTTTTTAGCAGTCAATTTTTTATGTCAAGTTTTTGGAGGAATTTTTAATAGTTTGTTGGTTCTATAAATTTGTTCCGTCACATTTGTCCATTAAATTATTAGTAATTGATCCTGTGATAGCACTATTATTTTTAAAATTTATTTAAAAAGTACCCAAGTTATGTATAGTGTCATAAATATCAAAAAATCATTAAGCCAAAATTTTCTTATTGATAATCCGTAAATCTCGGAAGTCAAATAGTGACTGCAGGTTGCTAGTTACATGACACTGAAGTTGACAGACATTAGAAATTTTTTTAGAATTTTATAACTGAAGTTATGAAAAAAATTTATGATAGTAAAATTGAGAGACATTTGATAATTTTTAGAAATTTTTTAACTAATAAATTATGGCAAGAAAAATTTATTTAAATAATTTCATCTTTAGGTGATCTAAAAAACTCTAAGTGCAATTTTTTGAAAATAATTTTCTAGACCTAGTTTATTGTTAAAAAAATAGTCAAGTGTCTGCTAATTCGTCATAAAAATTTAATAAAAAAAATTCGACATGTAAAATTAAAAAAAAATTATTAGTGGAAATTTTTAGAAGTATTTTTTTATTGAAATTGATTTGTAAATCTGTAAATCTCGGCAGTCAAAGTGACTGCAGGTTTTTAGTAATTATGACATTAAATGCAACTGTCATAATTTTTTATTTCAAGAAAAATTTATTTAAAAAATTCCGTCTTTAGAACCTTTAAAAAATTCTCAATGCAATTTTTTAAAATAAATTTTCTAGACCTAGTTTATTTTTTCCCTAGATTCTAAGTTACAATTTAAAAACCTCAATTTATCTTATAAATCCCAAGCCAAAATTTTCTTCAATATAATTATAATGACCATTAACAATATTAATTCTTAACAATATTATTCCAGGTCTTGGATCCGTCTGAACGTGGGCCTAGTAGTATCCGTAAAACTCTTCGGTGTAGCAGACAAGAAGCTTTTAAAAAAGCTCTGCGACGTGAACAAGAAGCTCTACGCCGTAACATTGGTCGGCAACATAGTCTGGCTGCCCAGCAAGTTCCTCAGCGAGAACATCCCAGCCGAGACCAGTCCAGTGAACAACACCGTCGGGGAGCGAGTTCTAAACAACAGGATGCAAAAGCTCTCCGTAACTTGCGGAGGATTGATAAACAAGTCAATGACCTGGTGCGTAGAAGCCAAGAACTTGCTCTGCGGCGTTGAGTTCCAGATCTCGGACATCAAGAAGCAGTACTTGCTGATCAAGGAAGCAGTTACTTTAATGTCCCAGATCAACGAGCAGGTGTCCTTTATTACAAATGTCCACGCTTCGCTGGCGAAACCGATGAACAGGAGCACAGTCCAGCTGATCTGCCGGATGATCGAGGTCCAGCGAACCCTAGAGACTACAGTCTACACTTTGGGACCAATGGTAGTCCAAGCTCAGAGTAGAGGTCTTCAATATCTAAGCTACGAGATCCTCGTCATCTTAGAGAACGCTCGCAAAGGCTTGGTCCAGAAAGACCAGGGTTATAGGAGAGAAAAGCTAGACGCACTTTCTTTGACCTGCTTGAGCATGAAGCTGATCAATGGACCTGGTTCAGCAGACAGAAGGTTGATCGTCCGCTGCGCTTTGAGCTGCGTCAGGCAGCTTGCAGATGCTTTTAAAGATGAAGAAGTCATTAAGCTGAAGCAGAAGCTGGATGACTATGACATCATCGCTGATTTGCACGCTAATATTGCAGAAGCTTGTGATTATTCAGTGCTGCTGCATCACCAGTCGATGATTCCTGCCTACTTGATGCTTGTAACAGGTAAGTTCTCAGCTCGTAACCTCGTAAGCTCGTTGGAACCAGAGTTAATTTTATTGAAGAAATAGGATAAATATCCCAATAGATGGACGGTTAAGCAAACTCTCGTAATCTATTAAAAAAACAATTTAGTAATATACAGATAAGTTGTGATAAAGTAAATTATATTTATGTAAAAATATATAATTAACCAGGAAAAAATAAGTAAAACTTCGTAAAACGTTGTAGTAATTAATAAAAAAGAAAATGTAAGAAAAAGTTCAAAACCCCAGTAGATGGACAAAATCTCCAGTAGACCGACAGTCAATACCAATAGATGGACACTACTTAGAAGCGATAACTTTCAATTCATTATTTATATTAGAAATAATTAATTTATTAGTTTTTTTAGCATTGTTAGTGAAATTTAAGCGAAATCAAATGTAAAAATCTTACTTTTTTTTATTATTTTTAATAATAATAAATAACTCCACCAGCTATCTATCACATGCTTACTAGTGATGGCGCTCTCGGAGCACAACCTCCAGATGTCCAATTTAAATAATTTTTTTAAACTATTATTTTAAATAAAAAGTTATAAAAAAAATTACTTTTCGCTCTCAGAATTATCATATTTGTCCATCTATTGGGGTATTTACCCTACTTTACCTTAGTACTGATCGGAATCAATAATTTCATTTTTAAAAACCTAGAATGACAGTCTTCAAACGGACGCGTAACCGAATTATTCGCGCTCTGGCGGCAGACCGGGAACTAAAAATAACCTAATTAACTTAATTTAATTTTTAATCTCTTTCCATTAAATATCTTATAATAACATTCAAACTCTTAAATCATTTAACAAAATATTTGAATCTCTTCTTATGTTTATTTTAGAAAGCACCCAAGACATCAGCCACCTAGTTCACCTTCTGACCGCCTTCAACAGCGCCGTGATCCGTCAAGAACCTTCTGAGTTCACCAACCTCCGGGTCAAAGAGCTCAAGGAAGCCGTGGTGAAGCACATCTTGGAGCCTGCGTGCCGAGAAATCGAAACCAGCCTCAGATTGCACGTCCATGCTCATCTCAAATTAGATTCCACAAACCCCTTCAAAGTGGGGGCCAAAGACGCCAGTCGGGTGGTCAGAGCTCTACCCTTACCGATTGGAGGTTCCCTAATCAGCGCCAAGCGGTTCGTGGAACACTACCTAGACGATATATTTTATAACCTCACCACCGTGGCGCTTCATGACTGGAAGACCTACAAAACAATGCACGCATTAGCTAAATACAAATTAGGGTTAGATTCGGTTCAGAACCATTTACCGACTCAGACCCTGGAACAGGGGCTAGATGCCTTGGAAATCATGCGGAACATTCATGTCTTTGTTTCTAAGTACCTTTATAACCTCAATACCCAAACCTTCGTCGAGCACACTAGCGCCAACAAGCACCTCAATACAATCGGGATCCGCCATACTGCAAATTCAATCAGAACTCATGGAACGGGAATTATGAGCACTACTGTAAACTTTGTTTATCAGTTCCTGAGGGTTAAGCTTCATACGTTCTCGCAGTTCCTGTTCGACGAACACATTAAGTCAAGGTTATTGAAGGACATAAGGTTCATAAGGAACCAACGGGAACGAGAACAGACACCGTATACTTACGAACGCGCTGAAAAGTTCCAGAAAGGAATCAGGAAGCTGGGAATGTCCAACGATTTGAGTTACTTGGATCATTTCCGACTGTTGATAACGCAGATCGGGAACGCGTTAGGTTATGTTAGGTTAATAAGGTCCGGAGGGCTCCACGCATGCGCCAATGCGGTTTCTTTTCTTCCTGATATCAACACTCCGGGGTTCCAAGCTTGTTCCGGGAACTTGAAGTACTCTGAGACTACCCAAGCCGCTGCTAAGCGGCTGGACGACGACCTCGGAAATTTAGTTCGGAACTTCACCGAGGGGAGTCAGTACTTCAAACTTCTGGTAGATGTCTTTGCCTCTGCGTTTAGGGACACTAAGAGCCATCATCTTCAGCAGTTCTATGCGATTGTTCCACCGTTGACTTTAAGTTTTGTCGATAATGCAGTTGCGAACAAGGAGAAGATTTTTAAGAAGAACAAAGATGGCGCTGCGTTCACTGATGATGGCTTCGCGATGGGGATTGCGTATGTTAACGCGCTGTTGGATCAGAGCGCGGAACTTGATGGACTCCAGTGGTTTGAGACTGTAAATGCGCATTTGAACAGGGAGAAAACTCTAGCGGAGAAGATTGAAGGGGATGATGAGAAACTTATGCAGACTAGGGCGCTCACCCTTAAGAGGTTGAAGGAGAGAAGTTCGGAGTTCCAGTTGTTGTATTATAGCCTTTCGGGAGCTAGGGTCTTTTTTAAGCAAACGGATTATTAGTTTGTTAAAGATTTAATGGGTTTTAATACAGTTGTTTTTTTAAAAGATTTTATTGTTTACTTTTTAAGTTTTTAAATTAATCACAAGCTTTAAGTATTTTGTAAAAATGCGCGCTCTTTTTTTTTGGACACTTTTTTGGCTTATTTTTAGTTTTTATTTTTTTTATTGGCAACTTTGTTTGTTATTGTTAGGTTACGGGTCCATTCATTTTATTTATTTTAAATAATTAAATTTTTAAGGGGTATTTTGGTCTAGAAATTTGAAAAAAATGATTTTTTTTTATTTTCAAAGTTTAACTCTTTAATATAATGCTAAAGTTAGCCGACGTTTTTAATTTTTTTTTCATTTATTCAATTAGGAGTAAATATTTTTTTAAAATTGCACTTATAATTTTTCAAGTTTTTTATGAATGAAATTAAAAAATAATTTTTTTGTGATAATTTTTTCAATAAAAAAAAAAATTATAAAAATTTTTAGACGTCGGCTAACTTAATTTTCATTTTAAGAATGTCTTTAAGAAAAATTTTTTTTAAAACGATACCCACGATTTCTCAAGTTCTACTGAACTGAATTACTTGAAATTTGGTGTAAGTTTTCTTTATAGACTTCTCTATCGCATGAACGATCCTCATCCCTGAATTTCAATATTTACTATTTTTAAAAAATTCGGAAAACTCAAAAAAAGTGATACCAAAATTAATTTTTTATTCAGGCAGTTGCCATTTTGTGAAAAAAAATTTTTTTTTATACTTTTTTTTAGTTAGTACGGTAGCAGTATTAATCTAAATTAATAATCTTTTTTTTTTTCTTTATTATTAGCTACTAACTTTTTGAATTTTGAATTTATTTTTCTGTATTCTTAAAATATTAACAAATATCTTACAAAAAAATGAATAGTAAGAATATTGATTGCCTGTTTTTTATGGCACTTAAAAAATTACCTTAAATTCAAGCTTCTAGACCAGAATATCCCCTTAATATTTTTAGTGACTGGGCCCATAACCTTGTAAATTAATAATCTTGCTAAAATTATGATCTAGATTTAATACTATGACACAATGAGTAACAACTACTTATTTAAAAAAAAGGTAATTATTTACAAGTGGGGTCAAGCTTATTTTGCCCCATGTTTAGCCATAAAATTTTTTTTTTTTAATTGTTCGTTTTTTTTATTAATTGTTCAAAAAATATATCAAAAAAAGATAAAATAGAAATTTTATCCAAAAACATAAAAGCAAATTTTTTTTCCAACTTTTAAAAGCAAAAAAGCTCTATAAAAATTTTTATTTTTTTTTTTCACATATTTTATAATAAAAAAAAATATTTAAATGTTAATTTTTTATCTAATTATTGACCCAACTTTTAAATAATTACTAAAAAAAAATCTGAATTATAATTAATCAAGATTAAAAAGTTACCCTGTAATTAATTTTAATAATTATGAAGAATAAAAAAAGAATCTTAATGATTCAATATTTAAAAATGAACTATTTTTTTTTTTTTTTAACATTATAGTCTAAATTATTTTGATTGAAATTGATAAAAGTGTCCAAAAATTAACTTTGTAGAGCTGCACGGTCTAAAAAAAAATCAATAATTTATAACTGATCACAATAATTAATAAAAATAATAAATAAAAAAAAAAATGACTAGAATGCGGTCAGCCGAATAAAAAAAAATAAAAACAAAATATAACTTAGTCTAATTGTAAGTATTTGTACGATTAATTAAATAAGAAGACACTAGATAAGAAATAAAAAATAAAAATGCCGATTGATTCAGTCTCTCAAGTGCTAAAACTAAATAACCGTTTGGATTTTACCTCAATTTGTCTACTTGAATTATTATCAATAAGATTAAAAGCTCGGAGTTCAATCAGAGCTAGAGCTAGAGGTTTTTATTGCACTAGCCAGTGTATATTTTTGGATCTTAATCTCGTATTATTTTTTAACTTTGAGATCTTGAGTCCTCTGGGTCCAGAAGATCATCGCAGGATGCCGTTGGTGGTAACAATTGCCGGCCGCCGCGCTTTTTAGTGCGAGTAAATACTTTTGTCAGTTGAGCAAATTTACGTCGAGATACTTTGCCCATGTTTTTTAAACGTTCTCTGAATAAATCTTCGTCATTCCCGCTGCACTTTTCACTACCGTGTAACTTGGAGTCTAGGAGAGAAAAAAATATTTTTATAATTTAGATAATTAAAATAAACTAGGTCTAGAAAATTATTTTTAAAAAAATGCATTTAGAATTTTTTAGAGCTTCTAAAGATGGAATTTTTTAAATAAATTTGTCTTGTGATTTGTTAAATAAATTCTGAAAATTATCTATATATAGAGAATAAGAAAAATTTTTGGTATTTATATGATAAAATGAGTTTTCTAAATTAAATTTAGGATCATTGGAAAGAAGATCTGAATTTGTGCCTTTTAAATGTTCCATTTCCTTTTCTAAAATTGTTAATTTATTATGATAAGTTTTCCAAGTAGTTATAAATAGATTAGAATCTCGCGATAAACAAAATTTATTTATTTTATTTTGTTTTGTACAAGTCAGTGTGGTTGTATGTCAAAAATTAATTTATATAATTAAGAGACTAAGAAAAATTTTTAACGGGTATATCTTTATCGTAAATTGGGTTTGATATTTTTTCAGCGATAGTCATTTATGATTTAAATAATTGAGAGAGTAAGGAAAATTTTGTGACGAGCGTATTATTATTTTTAAAGGAATTTTTATAGTTTAATTTGGTATCATCAGAAAGGTCGAGATAAGAATTAGTGCCTTTTGGTTTTATATATTTTTTAGCAGTCAATTTTTTATGTCAAGTTTTTGGAGGAATTTTTAATAGTTTGTTGGTTCTATAAATTTGTTCCGTCACATTTGTCCATTAAATTATTAGTAATTGATCCTGTGATAGCACTATTATTTTTAAAATTTATTTAAAAAGTACCCAAGTTATGTATAGTGTCATAAATATCAAAAAATCATTAAGCCAAAATTTTCTTATTGATAATCCGTAAATCTCGGAAGTCAAATAGTGACTGCAGGTTGCTAGTTACATGACACTGAAGTTGACAGACATTAGAAATTTTTTTAGAATTTTATAACTGAAGTTATGAAAAAAATTTATGATAGTAAAATTGAGAGACATCTGATAATTTTTAGAAATTTTTTAACTAATAAATTATGGCAAGAAAAATTTATTTAAAAAATTCCATCTTTAGGTGATCTAAAAAATTCCAAGTGCAATTTTTTAAAAATAATTTTCTAGACCTAGTTTATTGTTCAAAAAATTGTCAAGTGTGCTAATTCGTCATAAAAATTTAATAAAAAAATTCGACATGTAAAATTAAAAAAAAATTATTAGTAAAAATTTTTAGAAGCATTTTTTTATTGAAATTGATTTGTTAAACCGTAAATCTCGGCAGCCAAATAGTGTATAGCTGTCATAATTTTCTAATTTTTTTTTTTTAATAGACAAATGTGTTCCAAAAATGCACTATTTAATTTATTAAAATTTCTACATCTCAATTTTTTTTCTAATTTTTCTCGCCATGATTTATTTATTTATTTTTATTAAAAAAAAATTCTTAAAATAATCAAATATCTGCTAAATTAATTTTCATTATCAATTTTATAAATAAAAATAAATAAAAAAAATTTACCGTGCTCTAGAGTGTTTAAAAAATCCTCATTCCATCTGAGCTCAGTCATAAACTCTTCATTCTGTAAAAACATAGCAATCCTCTCATCCTCCAGCAGCGAATTCTCCTGAACAACAGAATCATGCGCGTCTTCCATTTGCTGCGGAATCCTGAGAAAGGAATCAGGAAGCGGCCCGAGCAACGGAGGCTGCCATTTCATACTTTTCATACTTTTAGACTGCTTACCATCACTGGGATTCTGTACAGCCACCAGGACTTCTTGGTGGCTTATCAGTGCTTTTGGAGAAGAATCACCAGAGTTGTCACTTTGTTCCATCTCGCTCCTTATCTTCTCATTTTCATTGTCAGTGCTCATGGCCAGCAGCTGATCGATAGTCGTGTCCACTGCACCTTGATTCGACCTCAGCACAGCCTGACATTTAATTTATTAAATTAATAAATAAAAAATATTATTATCACTCACTTTAATTAAAATTAAAAATAAAATTACTTCAATAACATCGTCATCCATCTGCGGGAACATATTTTTAAAGTCAGCCATCGCCTGGTAGAACTCCAGTGTCGTTTGTTGTTGCTCAGCAGCCGATGCCATTTCTTAATTATTTAATTACTACTTTTTAAAATTAATTATCTAAAAAAATTAAATAAAAAATTATTACATAATTTTTCAACAACAAATAATCAATATATAAATAATACTCACCTAGCTGTTTAGACGCACAAATTTTTATTGAACAGCTGTCAATAAATTAAACGTCACTTTTAAGTCATGGCACAGATAAATCTTGTTAATTTTTAATTAACATTTCATTGTTAATTAATAAATTAATAATTAGCAAGTAGCTGCAGAGCGAACAAATAATTTGACTAATTTAAAAAAGAACCAGCCAGCCATTATTTTTTTTTATTGATCGCGGCGCCACCTAGAAGCTAAAACTTCATGAAGATCCGGCTTACCCAACCTTCGCCAGTTTCATTTCTTTTTTAGACACGCCGTGTATGAATACGGTAATGATTTTATATTTATTAATTGATCTTGCAAACATTTAACAATCCTTGCAATTTTTTACACTAATTATTTTAGTTTAAATTGTTTGGATATTTATTTGTTGATATAAATTTATATTTTTTGATAACTTATTGTTGTTTTATTGTTTTAGTGTCAAAATGGGACGACGACCAGCTAGATGGTAAGTCATGCTTGTCTTTAATATTTTATTATTAATGTTTATTAAAAGTTTCTTTTAAGTAATCAATTTCATTTTATTATTAACTTTTTTATTTTAATTTTAAAGTTTCTGATAATTTTTATGAAAAAATAGAAAAAATTTTTTTTTATTAAAAGTTGGGTTATGCCATATGATGCATAAGAGAAAATTGTGATTCATTTTGGAGATAAATTTATAAAAAATTTTTAAATAATTAAAATTTTTTTTGAATTAAAAATTGATGTGTCAATTTTTTTATTGATATTTATTTAATTAATATCATTAAGAAATTTTCAAAAAAAATTTTTTTATCACTAATTAATTTAATTAAATTTAAAATTCATAAAAATTCTTGTAAAAAAAATTATTATAAGTTAGATTATGCCATATGATGCAATCGAAAAAATTATGATTAATTTTGGAAATAAATTTATCAGATAATTTTTATAAAAAATTTTCTAAGTAAATTTTCAATTTATTAAAAATTCATTTAAATAAAAAATTGATAAATGTCAATTTTTTTATTATTAACTTTCAAAAAAAAATTTTTTTCATCATTAATTAATTTCATTTGATAATTAATTATTTTAATTAAGTCTAAAATTGATAATAATTCTTGTAAAAAAAATAAAAAAAAAATTTTATTGTAAGTTAAGTTATGCCATATGATGTAAAGGAGAAAATTGTAATTATTTTTAATTAATTAAAATTTTTTTTTTGTTTGTTAAAATTGAAAAAAGTCAATTTTTTTATTGATCTTAATTTTGTTATTATTAACTTTCAAAAAAAAAATTTTTTATCATTAACTAATTTTATTTAATTACTAATTATTTTAATTAAATTTAAAATTGATGAAAATTCTTGTGAAAAAATTACAAAAAATTTTTATAATCATTAATTAGAATATTATTTTTTATTAAAAATTAATTAATGTCAACTTTTTATATTAATTAAATAACTTTTTTTTATAGTTATCGGTACTGTAAAAACAAGCCGTACCCAAAATCCCGTTTCTGTCGTGGTGTCCCAGACCCCAAGATCAGAATTTTTGATTTAGGAAAAAAGAAAGCCAGCGTTGAAGACTTTCCACTTTGCGTTCATCTGGTGTCAGATGAGTATGAACAGCTGAGCTCCGAAGCTTTAGAAGCCGGACGGATTTGCTGTAACAAGTACATGGTGAAGAATGCTGGCAAAGATCAGTTTCATATTCGTATGAGACTACATCCGTTCCATGTCATCAGAATCAACAAAATGTTGTCATGCGCTGGAGCTGATAGGTAATTTATTTAAAAATCATTAATTAAACAACTTTATGATGAAAATTAAGCTAGCCGACATCTAAAAATTTTTTTTTCATATAAAAAATTATTACAATAAAATTTTTACTAGCAAAAAACTTGAAAAAATGTTTGGATTTTTTTTTATTAATTAAATTAAAACTAAAAAATTATTTTTAAAAAATTGCACTTATATTTTTTCAAGTTTTTTTTATTAAAAAAAAAATTTTTTTGTAATTTTTTCAATAAAAAAAACATTTTTAACTTTAGATATTTGATAATTTTTATATAAATTTATAATATTAATTACTAATAAAAAAAATAATTAATTAAACAGGCTCCAAACCGGTATGAGAGGTGCTTTTGGCAAGCCCCAAGGAACAGTAGCTCGTGTAAACATTGGCCAGCCAATCATGAGCGTCCGTTCATCTGACCGTCACAAGGCATCAGTTATTGAAGCTCTCCGTCGTGCCAAGTTCAAGTTCCCAGGACGTCAAAAGATCTACGTCTCCAAAAAATGGGGATTCACCAAGTACGAGCGTGCTGAGTACGAAGAGCTGAAAAACGCTGGCCGTCTTGCCCCAGACGGTTGCAACGTGAAATATCTGCCAGAACATGGACCTCTTTCTGAATGGAAAAAATTCCGAGAGATTTTAGTACCAGTTTAAAGTTATAAAACTTTGTTAAATTTCTCAATAAATTTTTTCCAACAATATTTATTAATATCTGCATTTATTTACATACAAAATTTTCTTACCTGTCATGGTAGTTATATTTATACATACATATAATATATAATAGATATAAATTTTAAAAATTCATTTACAATTATAATTTATTTATATATATAATTTTTTAATAATTACAGTAGATATATTTATATATTTACTAGTCATTCCTCAGCTATTGACATTTTCGTTAATCAAAGTTCATTCTGATGTTATACTCATCGAGACCTTTCATTTGAGTACCCACATCAATTTTTCATATATTTATATATATGTATATATGAAAAATATATAAAAAATGTCATGTGGGTACTCAAATGAAAGCTCTTGATGAGTATAACATCTAAATGAGCTTATATCGTTAAAAATATCATTAGTTAACAAAATGCAATAGTAATTTTTTAATTATTACCATTTGTTATAAATATAAGTCCATTCTGGTGTTATACTCATCGAGACCTTTCATTTGAGTACCCACATCAATTTTTTCATATATTTTATATATTTATATATTTCACAAATACCATATATATAAAATATATGAAAAATGCCATGTGGGTACTCAAATGAAAGGTCTCGATGAGTGTAACATCAAAATGAGTTTATATCTTAAAAAATGTCAATTATTTAGAAATGACCTTGTATTTCGTCAACTATTGACATTTTTAAAGATATAAGCTCACCCTGACATTACACTCATCGAGACCTTTTATTTGAATACCCACATCAATTTTTCATATATTTATATATATTATATATATATGTATATATGAAAAATATATCAAAAATGCAAGTAGGTACTTAAATGAAAGCTCTTGATGAGCGTAACATCAAGATGAGCTTATATCATTAAAAATATGATTAGTTAACAAAATGCATTATTAAATATTTTTTTAATAATTCAAATTATTTGTCAATATGTACTAAAATGCGTAAAAAACGCTCTGGCGATTAAAATTAATTATAAAATCTATTCTTTTAATTAATAATAATAATAATAATTAGTGGGTATTAGATTCAAAAGTATTAAATATACAAAGCCTTATACCTGACAATGATACATACAAATAATTAATCAATAAATCACATTTGTTAGTCGCGACTCGCAATACTATGCAGGAGATTCAATATTGTTTGTAGACCTTTCGAATGACCGGAGACTCGGACATTAAATTTGTGTAAACATTAATTCTTTGTCAATGGGAATTACAATTTATTTCACTGTCGTTCTCATTGACATTGCTGGTCATTTCGTCGTCAATGTCCAGGTCGCAGATGCGGTGGTGAGATTCTCTGGGGTCGGTGCTAGCTGCTGAATCTAGGAGAGGTGATAATTTTTCTGCTTCACTGTCCTCGTCTTGGCCCTGTACCTAGAGAAAAAATAAATTGTCTGTAAATTGTATTTTTAGGATCAAATAATAATTAAAAATTATTATTAAATAATTAAATTAATTAAAATAATTTGTAATTAATTATTACATCATAGTGAGGCTGCTTTTCATTGACAAGTCTCAAAGTATCCCGAGTCCTGATGGAATTCTTCTCACGCGGATGACTGATTTTGGCCCGCATACCCGGGGAGCGACCATGCAACTCCTTCTGGTTGACGACGGTCTCGTCTCTGGCCAACAGGACAGACATACGGAACTCCGGAGTAGGGCAGGGTGTCACATTGCTGGACCTCGCTATCGCAGCTCCCGTTTCGCCGTCTTTTAGACCCGTGTGCTTCGACACTGGTGTTCGTTCTGCAGATCTGCAATGGGGTAGTTTTACTACCGATTGTATTAATTTCTAATCAACAACTACTTTTTTATTTATTAAATATAAATCTAAAATATTTATTATTATCATTATTGTTAATTAATTATTTATCATTCAGCGAACAAAAATTCAATATAAAAAATTATAAGAAATTTTTGTGTAAAAAATTGAATTTTATAGAAAAAAAAAGTATCGATCAAATTTTTCATATTTTTAATCTTGTAGACAGAATATTGGTTTGAACAATAAAATAAAAAATTTCATTATTGTTATTATTATTTAAAAAATTTTAAACTTGTTCTGAGAAAAAAAATTTACATTAATTAATAATTAGTAGTACATAATTGAGCAGACAAGAATTAAAAATAAAAAAAGAAACTTGTTTTGAATAAAATTAAGTTTTCTATAAAAAAAAACAATTTTATTATTATTATTTTAAAAGTCTAGATAAAATATCTAGAAGCAAAATTATTTTTATCCAAAATTATAGTCTATCCTAATAATTAAAAATTTTTAATGAGTAATATTTATACTCCTAATTAAATTTGTAAAATAATTTTTAAAAGTTTGCGCTTTTTGTTTGAATTTAAATAACTAATTTAATTATTATTCTTCTAGTCTTATACTGTAATTGTGTATTTTAATTATTTTAAAACCATTGTACTCTATGCTAATTGAAATAAGGATTATATCCTATAAATTCAATAAATTAAATTAATCTTTACTAAAAAAAATTAACAAAAATAATTTTGCCACTGAAAATTTCCTCAAAAAAAAAATAACTACCAATAAATAACTCACCTATTTAAAATTTCAGCTGCCTGAATAGCACTAGCAGTATCAGTATCTGGAGTATCAGGAGATTCTGGAGCTGGAACAACTACTCTCGGCGTATACGGGCCATTCAAGGCTTCTATCAAAGAAACAGCTTCATACCCGGAAGGAATATTCTCACAGCTTCCCTAAAGCATGAAATAAAAAAAAAAATAATTATAACATTCTAAAAAAATATTTTTTTTTAATAATACTATAAAATCACAGGTAGTTGGAATTAATAAATGACAAATTAAACAATCATATTATTGTATGTTATTGTTATTATTAACGTCGCAATAATAACAATAACATGATTGTTTAATTTGTCATTTATTAATTCCAACTACCTGCGATTTTTTAGTATTATTCTATGATTTTGGATGCGATAAAAAATGGAAATTTTTTTAAATTTTAATTTTGCAATGTGCTATTTTTGTTGGTTTTCTGTTTTTTTTTTTTTTTTTTTTTTTATTATTTTAAAATACAATTTCATTTTTTATTTTATTTATTTTTTCATTTTAAATATCGCACTATGTTTTTAACTGATCGTGCACACTTTGTGTATTTTTTTCATTAATAAAAATTAATCAAAATTAAATAAGATAACCATCTTCAATGATAATCTCCGCAAAGTGGATGCTAAGTTAATAAAAAAAAAACCTGATTGAATTCGTTAATTTTTATGCGAGTTATCTGGTTTCAAACGGAAAATTGTGTTGATTGGCAGGAATTTTCTTTTAACTATATTTGATAATTTTTTTTTTGGTTCTATAATCTTAAATTAATTTTTACAAATGATAGAATTAATCTCCATTAAATTATCTATTGAATGATGTATTATCTCTCAACTTACTTCAGGCATCGGAGGATTAGAAATAATAGCACCAGTAGCCTTTTGAAGCGCCTTGATTTGAAGAAGAGCACGGAAGGGAGCTCTGCAGATCGGACAGTTGTTAGCTTGGTACCTCAGAGAGTCAGCGCACCCGTAACAAAGACACAGATGTCTACAAGGCAGGATCAAAGTATCCCGAACATCACACATGCAAATAACACACTCTGAGCCATTATCTTCAGCATCTTCGTCGCTCCCTTGCTGCTTTGTGTTTTCAGTATTTTTATTTTCTATTCCGTAAATTTCCTGGAGTAAATAGCACAAACCGTCGACGTAGAGCTTCTGTTTGAGAGCTTTTAAGATGTAAGACCCATCGGACTGCTTCTCTACGACCGCTATCGTCGTGTGTGACTGCTTTGGCTCCTCTGTGCCTTCCTCAGCCACGCAGTGGATAGCCATTGGAACTATCTCGCGGTCTGTGTTGTAGAGCAAGTCTTCTTCGTTGTAAAGACTCGGGTCGAAGACGTGCGACGTTTGGATGAATTGTTGGTTTGCTCCTTTTTTGTAGTGATATGTCTCGGAGTTCATTGATGAATCTCTCGGTACATATCTAAAAAAATTGTAATTACTTTTTTATTTTAACATTAAAATTTTAAACAGACACATTGACAATTTTTTTTATCTTTCTTGAAAAATAAACTAGGTCTAGAAAATAATTAAAAAAAAAATTGCATTTAGAATTTTTTAGAGCATGTAAGATTAAATTTTTTTAAATAAATACTTCTTGCTATCATTTGTTAAAAACATTCTAAAAATTATCAATATATTAACAGACACTTTGATAATTTTTTTTATTTTTCTTGAAAAATAAACTACGTCTAGAAAATTATGTTAAAAAAATTGCATTTAAAATTTTTTAGAGCGTTTAAAGATGGAATTTTTTAAATAAATTCTTCTTGTGATTTGTTAAATAAATTTTAAAAATTATCTATATATAGAGAAAAAGAAAAATTTTTGGTATTTATATGATAAAATGACTTTTTTAAATTAAATTTAGGATCATTGGAAAGAAGATCTGAATTTGTGCCTTTTAAATCTTTAATTTTCTAATAAAGTAGTTATAAATAGATTAGAATTTCGCGATAAACAAAATTGATTTATTTATTTTGTTTTGTACAAGTCAAATGTGGTTGTATGTCAAAAATTAATTTATATAATTAAGAGACTAAGAAAAATTTTTAACGGGTATATCTTTGTCGTAAATTGGGTTTGATATTTTTTCAGCGATAGTCATTTATGATTTAAATAATTGAGAGAGTAAGGAAAATTTTGTGACGAGCTTATTATTATTTTTAAAGGAATTTTTATAGTTTAATTTGGTATCATCAGAAAGGTCGAGATAAGAATTAGTGCCTTTTGGTTTTTTATATTTTATAGTAGTCAATTTTTTATGTCAAAGTTTTTGGAGAAGTTTTTAATAGTTTGTTGGTTCTATAAATTTGTTCCGTCACATTTGTCCATTAAATTATTAGTAATTGATCCTGTGATAGCACTATTATTTTTAAAATTTATTTAAAAAGTACCCAAGTTATGTATAGTGTCATAAATATCAAAAAAATCATCAAGCCAAAATTTTCTTATTGATAATCCGTAACTATCGGAAGTCAAATAGTGACTGCAGGTTGCTAGTTATATGACACTGAAGTTGACAGACATTAGAAATTTTTTTAAAATTTTATAACTGAAGTTATGAAAAAAATTTATGATAGTGAAATTGAGAGACATCTGATAATTTTTATCGAAATGAGTTTATATCTTAAAAAATGTCAATAATTAAGAAATGACCTTGTATCTTGTCAACTACCGACATTTTTAAAGATATAAGCTCATTTCGATGTTACACTCATCGAGACCTTTCATTTGAGTACCTACATGACATTTTTTATATATTTTATATATTTATATACTTCACAAATACCATATATATAACATATATACAAAATGCCATGTGGGTACTTGAATGAAAGGTCTCGATGAGTGTAATATCGCAATGAGTTTGTATCTTAAAAAATGTCAATAATTAAGAAATGACCTTGTATCTTGTCAACTATTGACATTTTTAAAGAAATAAGCTCATCCCGATGTTACACTCATCAAGACCTTTCATTTGAGTACCCACATCAATTTTTCATATATTTATATATATTATATATATGTATATATGAAAAATATATAAAAAAATGCATGTGGGTACTCAAATGAAAGCTCTTGATGAGTGTAACATCAGGATGAGCTTATATCTTTAAAAATATCAATATTTAAGAAAGTACAGTGCAATTTTATAAAAGTCATTATTTAGTAAAGCAAAATTTTAATTTTTTAAGTTGCTACTCTTATAACACATATTAAAAAAAATTCTTACGAGACTCCTTTGGCAGTGATTTCCTCAGTACAAAAGTAATAAATAGTAATTGCACATCTGACATCGCAATCAAAAGTGAACTCGATATTAAACCTAGTGGTCTTTTTATCAACATCCCCTTCTCCAAAGTTTTTAATCGCATTGATGGTGTCATTAGACTCAGAGGACGTCGGCACGGGATCAATGCTCTTGGTCAGCCTCAGTGACTCCTTTCTGATGTTAACCAGACTCTTTAGTGTCTTAGTAGGGTCATTTGCCTGTGGAGGAGGATACGGAAAAGGCGTCGGCCTACTTCCCAGAAAGTTCAAGTCCGCATTTTCTCCAAACAAATAAGCCTCCGGCTGCGGCGTGTCAAACCTCTCTCCTCCCATGATGAAGTGACTTCCGAAGTAGTTGCCTGGTTAATAAATTCCCTTTAGTAACCACTAAATATGACAATTGAAATAATTAAATATAATTACCTGATCTCGGAGGATATTTATACGCGTGATTTGATACTATGTCAACTTCTTCCACTCCGGCGTTTTGTCTGCTTGTCAGCGAACCCATTTTTTGACACTTAGTTTTTGGAGTAAGTAAATATTTCTGACAGATTGGACTAGAGACTGAGAATTGCGACAAATAACTGTTTACTTGCTATTTGCAATAGTGTCTTGATGTTGGAGAATAGAATTTTAATACTGCGCCATCTGGAATTTTAAATAAATATTTTAAAAAAATTATTTTTTTTTTTAAATTGGAGTAGAAATTTTTTTATTTTATGACAATAATAGTAATTAATTTAAATTTTATAGCAATTAAATTATTATTTAAAAATTTAATTTAAAAATTCCATAGGTAAAAATTCAAAAAAAAATATTAGAAGCATTTTTTTATCATTATCAGCTGATTTCAGTATCATTTTATTTTTTTATTGAAAGTTGGAAAAATAAAAAAATAAAATTTTTTATTAACAAAAATATGAAAATTTAATGTCAATTAATTTGTAACTAGCATCTTTGCAGTCACTACGTGACTGCCGTGACTTGTGAATTATAAATAAATGAAATTTTGCTTTATTAAATAATGACTTTTGTTAAATTGTACTGTACTTTCTTAACTATTGACATTTTGAAAGATATAAGCTCATCCTGATGTTATGCGCATTAAGAGCTTTCATTTGAGTACTCACATGTATTTTTGATATATTTTTCACATATAAGTATATATAATATATAATATATATAAAAATATATGAAAAATTGATGTGGGTACTCAAATGAAAGGTCTCGATGAATGTAACATCGGGATGAGTTTATATCTTAAAAAATGTCATTATTTGACAAAAAAAATGTCATTTCTCAATTATTGACATTTTTTAAGATATAAACTCATTTCAATGTTATACTCATCGCGACCTTTCATTTAAGTACCCACATGGCTTTTTTTTTATATATTTTGTATATATGGTATTTATAAAATATATAAATATATAAAATATATGAAAAAATGATGTGGATACTCAAATGAAAGGTCTCGATAAGTGTATTATCAGAATGAGCTTATATCTTTAAAAATGTCAATAGTTCTCAAAAGACAAGGTTATTTTTTGTGTATCTTGAAGTAGAGAATTTTCAAATGCAGCCTAAATACATTATAATAAATTGATTATCAGTAAGAATGATATGAATCCATCATTAAATTAAATTTAATTCATCATTATTATTCAAGGTGTAAACCTTGAAAAGGCACAAATTTAAGTCTAGACCTTTGCAATTACTCCAAATTTCATTAAAAATACCCATTTTATCCTATTATATCCTGGGCATAAAATTTGCCTTATTCTCTTAATAATATAAATTATTTTTTTAACTTAAAAAATAAAATTTAAAAAAATTCATGAGTAAGTATAAAAAAATAAACTCAAAATATTATCTAACATCTGTTGACTCCAGTAAAACATTAATATATTCAGCGGGTAATTTCTCAAGGTTTTTTTTTTTTGACACATGAAGCGGCAGATAGATAACAAATACCAAACGTGTAATGCGCAAGTACTTATTAAATAATTATAAATAAAACATATATACCATTTGTTGATGCTGTCATAATCTGTACAAATAAATAAAGAAGATCAATAAATAAAAATCTCTAAATAATAAATAATAAATATAATAAACTAAAAATTACCTAGTGAGGTTATATCAACAGTAAATAAAAAAAAACTCAAAACAAAAAGTGAAGTCAATAAAAAAACATAGTCCAGTTTGAAGTTAGATGCTCACTAAAAAAATAATTAACAAAATCCATGAGTGTCCAGGTGGTGGGAGAAACAAGTAAAGTGCTTAAAAAAATATCAGTGTGAAAAAAAAAAAATTTAGTTGGTCTGTAACAGTCCTCGAGATAACATAAAGATTATTTTTACCAAAAAAAACAACTACCAGTTGTGAAGTTTTTCAGGATTAAGCTAAAGCTAAAGCTAAAGAATTGCTTAGCAGCAACAACTCTAATTTACAAATAAAACGTAAAGGATAATTTTCATGAAAATAAATCGCGCTGTGTGATTGGTTGTTGTCATTTGAAAACGGAAGCCATCTTGTGGCCATCAAGAAAGAGTCTCTCGCTAACAATCATTGAGTTGATACGGGATTTGTAAATTAACAAGTTATTATTTAAGATAAATTTGTTTATTTAATAAATAACAATCCCTAGATCGTTTTATTAGCACATTTAAAGTTTATATTTGGACTATGCATGAATTATTAAACCATATGTTTTCATAGCCATGGCTGCGACGAGAAAGTTGCAAGGTGAGAATATTATTTTACATTTTAACCATTAGCTATCTGTTTACATGCTGAAGGTCCTTTTGTACGCCGTCATGTGAGAGATTCCCCGAGAGGCCCTCTGTGCTGACCGAGAAGATGATCAAGCTCTGGAAGCGAAACTGAACTGCTGGAAATTAACCTGAAAAATTAGATACTTATTTGTGTTGGTTATTTGGACGCGAGCTACCTAACATTGTCATTGAACTGGTCGCTCGGGGTTAATTTTGGGCACCAGGGGTTGTTCATCACTTAAACTCCAGTGGTTATTGATGATATGTCATGGAGACGTTGTTTTTATTGATATTCTGTGTTTATTGTGGATTTTGTTGGGCTTGGGTTATTTGGGAGATTGCTAATTGGTCCGTTCTTTGTTTCCAGGTGAAATAGACAGGTGCCTTAAGAAAGTTTCCGAGGGTGTGGAAACGTTCGAGGACATCTGGCAGAAGGTACACAATGCCACCAACAGCAATCAGAAGGAAAAATATGAGGCTGATCTCAAAAAGGAAATCAAGAAACTCCAGAGGTTACGCGATCAGATTAAAAGCTGGATCGCTTCTGGAGAGATAAAGGATAAAAGTACTTTATATGAAAACAGAAAATTAATTGAAACGGTAATTATTTTTTTTTTTTTGTTCAAGATAAGACACTATTTTTAGAAAAGTTTGTTTTGGTAATTTATTTTATTATTTTTTTTAATTTTAGAAATTTTTTTAGTGTTTGACAGACATCTGACAATTTTTTTAGAATTTTATTTAATTATAAATGAAAATTAATTTAAAAGTTATTTAAGAATTTTTTTAACAAATAAATTATGGCAGAAAAAAAGTAAAAAAAATATTGTAGAAATTAAAAAAAATTCAATTTTTTAAAAATGATTTTTCGAGAAAAATATTTTTTTTTAATATGATTAAAAAATGATCTAATTTTAATGTCATAAATTATCATAAAAATTAATTTAGGAGATATTTAATAATTTTTTAACAACTAAATTACTGCAAAAAAAATTGACATTTAGAAATTAAAGAAATTCAATTTTTTGTTAATAATTTTTCGAGAGAAATTTTTTTTTTGTTAATTTAAAAAATGATCAGTGTTAATATTAATGTCATAAATTATAGTGAAAATCATCTAACAAATAAATTCCACATGTAGGAATTAAAAAAACTATTTATTTTTATGTAATAATTGATTATTTTCTTAATTTAAAATATTGCTAGATGTCAGATAAATTCTGTATTACATTTTATTATTATGAAAACTCGATATTTTTTATTAATTTTAACTTCAAAATTTTTCAATTAATTTAAAAAAAAATGAATAAACAATTTTTATATTTAAATAATAGTATAAACTTATTTTTTATTATTTAAAACTTTAATGGTCTATTTTATACGAATATTAATTTAGCAGATATTTATTAAATTTAATTAATTTTTTTAACAAATAAATTTTGGCAAAAAAAAAAAAATGACAGAAATTTAAAAAAATAAAAAATGCACTTTTTCTAAAATTATTTTTCGGAATAAATTTGTTTGTTAAAAAAAAATTAAAAAATTATCAAGTGACTGCTAATTTTAATGTCATCTCGTTATAAATTTTAATAATAAAAAATAAAATAAAATTTCAGCAAATGGAACGATTTAAAGTGGTAGAAAGAGAAACAAAAACGAAAGCATACTCAAAAGAAGGACTAGGAGCAGCTCAGAAGCTTGACCCAGCTCAAAAAGAACGAGAAGAAGTGAGCAACTGGCTAGCGAATTCAATAGAAACGCTAAATTTACAACTAGACACCTTCGAGTCCGAGATCGAATCCCTGCTGGCAGGAAAGAAAAAGAGGCTGGACAAAGACAAGCAGGACAGGATGGACGAGTTAAAGTCCAAGCTAGACAGACACCGGTACCATATACGTAAACTGGAAACCTTACTCCGCATGCTGGACAACATGTCTGTGGAAGTAAATACGATAAAGCGAATAAAAGACGACGTGGAGTACTACATAGAGTCCTCTCAGGAGCCGGACTTTGAAGAGAACGAGTACATCTACGACGACATAATCGGGCTGGACGAGGTGGAGCTTTCGGGAGTGGGAATCCCTTCGTCGGCGACCACCGACAGCAACAACAGCAACGAGACCGGCGGGACTCCGACCTCGACGAACTCTTGCTCGTCTCCGATACCGTCTCCACCTCTCAGCTCGACGATGCACAATCACTCGAGCGATAGTTCCACAGATAATGACAAAAAGCCCAAGGTCGAGACAGTTACTGTAATAAACTTTATATTTCATTTATTCTTATCCTCGTATCACGATGATTGTTATCAGCTATCATCGATGAGACGATTTGGCTTGACAATAACAGTGACTAATGCCTCATATCTTTTTTTTTTTTTTTTTGTTTTTCATAGCCCGTTAAGCCGACAGCAGTGAGGCCGCTATTGAACTCGTCACAAACGAGCATTCCAGCGACGGGTAGTCCTGCCAACAATAATAATAAACCTAGTACGTTAACGAGCAGTACGCCGAGTAAAATCATTCCCATGACACCTAGCCATAGCTCGCCTAATTCAAATAGTAATCATGTTGCCACCAGTAATGCCGGTAACTTTGCCACCGTTGCTGCTTCGCACACTAATTCACAAGCTGTTCATTCTACCTCCAAAATATCATGTAAGTTTTTTTTGTTATTACTAGCAACCTTGCAGTCACTACGTGACTGCCGAGACTATTAGTAAATTGCACTGTACTTTTTTAACTATTGATGTTTTTAAAGATATAAGCTCATTTTGATCTTATACGCATCAAAAGCTTTCATTTAAGTGCCTACATGCATTTTTAATATATATAATATATATTTTAAAGATATAAGCTCATCCTGATGTTACAGTCATCAAGACCTTTCATTTGAGTACCCACATGTATTTTTGATATATTTTTCATATACATATATATATATATAATATATATAAATATATGAAAAATTGATGTGGATACTCAAATGAAAGGTCTTGATGAGTGTAATGTCGGGGTGAGCCTATATCTTTAAAAATTTCAATGGTTCACAATTTTGATATATTCTTTATGTATACATATATGTATAATATATATTTTAAAGATATAAGCTCATCTTGATTTTACACTCATCAAGAGCTTTCATTTGAGTACCCACATGCATTTTTGATATATTTTTCATATATACATATACATAATATATATATAAATATATGAAATATATGAAAAATTGATGTGGGTATTCAAATGAAAGGTCTCGATGAGTGTAATAGCAGAGTGAGCTTATATCTATAAAAATGTTAATAGTTGACAAGATACAATGTCATTTCTTAATTATTGACATTTTTTAAGATATAAACTCATTTCGATGAAAAATTAACATTTTTTAATTTTTTTTTATTCTTCTTGTTTAAAAACAGCTCATTTATGATAAAAAATGTCGTGAAAGAAAAAAATAAAGATTTCGATAGCTTTTTTGCCTTCAAAAGTTGGAAAAAATTTTGGCTCTAATGTTTTTTGATAAAATTTCTATTTTATCTTTTTTTGATGTAGATAGATATATAGTTTCTAGTGTACAGGCGTAATAACGCCCTTTTACACCCTAAGCCTTCACATTTCTGCTTAGTTAACCTGCCTTATCATTGCGGCTGTGGACCGACTTGTGCCTTCTGTACCGTATTCACCCTGATCCTCACCACTTGGGTATTGGAACAGAAACATGGGGAAACCACAGAGATAACCCATGTTAGTACAGTCGGAGCTGGGTTAAGTCTACAGTGATAGATAAGAAATTCTTCTTTATCGACCACTGGAGCATTGGGCCCCTCTCCTAGTGTGCAGAGATCCCTCGCGCTAGCCAACGCTGACTAGAGTGGTCCACTCATTTCAGCTGTTGCTTAAATGGGTGATCGCCCAAGTCAGACGTGTGCCGCCCGGCTATCTCTGCCACTTCCAGAGGTTGGCAATGTAGCGTTACGCACATATTTTATTCTGAAAAATATTGGTGCGTGCTGGGATCGAACCCGGGTCCCACTCTTTCGAAAAATGACCACCGAGCCGACCAGGCCATTGCCAACCTATCTTTTTTTTGATGTATTTTTTGTTTTTTTTTGAAAAGTACATAAAAAAACGTCCAATTAAAAAAAAAATTGAATATCACAATTTTCTAAAAAATTTATAAATTTTTTTTTAATTTATTAAAATTGTGATAATCATATTGTTTTTTTTAAATTGTTCATTTTTTTTATATACTTAAAAAAAAAAAAAATATATCAATAAAATCAAATAGAAATTTCATTTAAAAAATTAAATTCAAATAGTTGATCTCACTTGTAAATATTTATTGAATGAATTAAGATTATTTAAATCAACTTAAATAATTTTTCAGACAAAAATACACATTTTTATAATACTGCATCTAACAGTAAATTTTTTTTTAAATACAATTTTTCACTATCAATTACAATTTATAACAATAAAAAAATTTTTCAATAAAATTTTTCACCGTACATAATATAAAAAATTTAATTTATCCTCACGAAAATTTATTTCAAAAACATTTTGAAAAGTACCTTTTTTTTTTAACAATGGATAAAGTTTAAATTCATAAATTATCAAGTTTAATTGATTCATAAATTATTAATGAATCAATTAAAAAATTTCAATCTTGTTAATTAAAAATAAAATGAATTTTTAAAAATTTCAGCTCAAAACAGTGAGAATGGCCTTTTATCATCGTCAATGTCTAGCATAACTTCACCAGTATCTCAATCACTATCCCAGCAGCAACTATCGCAATCCCAACAGCAGTTATCAACGTCATCGCAGCTCCAATCACCAGCACCAGCGCCTCAACACCAGTCCATAACGCAGCTGACACCACAGCCCCAACAAGTACCACCAGCTCAAGTGCAAAGCGTGACGCAGCTGCAGCTGAGCTCGGGAAACCCTGCGGCCCCGAGCTCTGGGTCGAATATTTCTTCAGGACACTTGCTGCACCAGCCGAGCCAGAACCACAACAGCAACGAGACGGAAATAACGACGCCGGTACCACCGGCTTCACCGCACTCGTCAGCCAGCAGCAGGCCCTCGCCAGTAAATGCCAGCTCTCCAATTCCCTCCACTGCCAACGGTCTCATATCTAAAATCCCCGACGGCATGTCGACTCTCAAGTCGATGGCCCAGCAAGTCATCGTAAGAGCTGGACTCGAGATACCACCTGGTGAACCCACCAGAAATATTTTTGATAATTCTAAGACAAACAATGCCACCAGTGAAGCCCATATTCCGCCGTTACTGGGTGTTGCACCTCTCGGCCCGGTTCCGCTGCAGAAGGAACATCAGCTCCAGTTTGCTATGATGGAGGCTGCTTTTTATCATATGCCTCATCCTTCGGATTCCGAGAGGCTCAGATCTTATTTACCTAGAAATTTATGCCAGACACCTCCGTATTATCAGCAGGTATTTATTATTATTATTATTGTTATTATCATTAGCAACCTTGCAGTCACTGTGACTTCCGTGACTTGTGAACTATAAAAAATTAAAATTTTGCTTTATTAAATAATGACTTTTGTTAAATTGTACTGTAATTTTTTAAATATTGACGTTTTTAATGATATAAGCTCATCCCGATGTTACACTCATCAAGAGCTTTCATTTGAGTACCCACATGCATTTTTTATATATTTTATATATTTATATATTTCACAAATATCATATATATATAAAATATATAAAAAATACCATGTGGGTACTTAAATGAAAGGTCTTGATGAGTACAATGCCGGAATGAACTTATATATTTAAAAATGTCGATAATTCACAAGATAAAAGGTCATTTATTTATGTTAAATTGCACTGTACTTTCTTTAATATTGACATTTTTAAAGATATAAGCTCATTCTGATGTTACGTTTATCAAGAGCTTTCATTTGAGTACCCACATTCATTTTTGATATATTTTTCATATATTCATATATATAATATATATAAATATATGAAAAATTGATGTGGGCACTCAAATCAAAGGTCTCGATGAGTGTAACATCGAGATTAGCTTATATCTTTAAAAATGTTAGTAGTTGACAAGATACAATGTCATTTCTTAATTATTGACATTTTTTAAAATATAAACTCATTTCGATGTTACACTCATCGAGACCTTTCATTTGAGTACCCACATCAATTTTTCATATATTTTATATATATGGTATTTGTAAAATATATAAATATATAAAATATAGGAAAAATTGATGTGGGTACTCAAATGAAAGGTCTCGATGAGTATAACATCGAGATGAGGTTATATCTTTAAAAATGTCAATTTTTTACAAGATAAAAGGTCATTTTTTAATTATCTATCTAGAGATAAAGAATTTTTGAATGCAGCCTAAATACTTATGAGAAATTGACTATCGGTGAGAATGAAATGAAACCTTAAAAATATAATCTTTTAATAATATAGATTATTATTATTATTTTTAATTATTGTTATTAAATAGTTTTTAATATTCATAAATGATACAGGTGCAACTGCCTCACTCGGATACTGTCGAATTCTTCCAACGACTGTCAACAGAGACGCTTTTCTTTATATTTTATTACATGGAAGGTTCTAAGGGCCAGTATTTGGCAGCCAAAGCACTCAAAAAACAAAGCTGGAGGTTTCACACTAAGTATATGATGTGGTTCCAAAGGCACGAAGAGCCAAAAATAATCAATGAGGAGTATGAACAAGTAATTTTAAATTTATTTATTGGCTCTTTGAATTAAGTGGTTCAAAAAAAATGAATTTTTTTTTAATTTACAATTCTTGAGGAATTTTTTTTAAAGGTAGCTAAAAATTTTGTTAAATTTCAAAAATCGTTAAAGATCGACTTTGTACTTTTAATTTAAAAAGTATTACTCAATAAAAATTTATTTATTTATTTTTTTTATATTTTCATCAATTGAACATAATTAAAAGAGTTACATTCTATTTTTATGTAATTTTTTTCTAGATAAAAAAAATAATTTCAATTTTATAAATGTTGAGTGACCTTTAAGAATATAAATATAAAATTTTAATTTTAAAAATTTACATAATTTTCAAGCTACAAACTAAAATATAAAATAAAAAATTAAATTTTAAATATATTTTTATTAAAAAAATATTAATTTTCATAATATTATAACACTGAAGTTAGCAGACGTCTAAAAATTTTTGATTTTTTTTATCCTAATATAAAATTGAGATGAAATGTATGTGGCATCAAACTATTCGTAACGTGATTGGTTGAATATATCATAAGCATGAAAATATATGCAAACTCTATAGTCAAGGCGCGCGCTTGCGCGCGTAAATTCAAATTCTAGTTAATTAAATTACAACTAAAAAAATATTTATAAAAAATTGCACTGGTAGTTTTTCAAGTTTTTTACATGTGACATTTTTTTTTTTTAATTGTTCAATTGAAATTTATTTAATAAAAAATTTCTATAAATTTTGAAATGTCGGCCAACTTTATTTTCATAAAATATTTTAGTTTTTTTGGACCACCCTATTAAATATTTCATTACAAATTTTATAAAAATTAATAATTATTTTTCAGGGCACATACATCTACTTTGATTACGAAAAATGGGGACAAAGAAAAAAAGAAGGCTTTACTTTCGAGTACAAGTACTTAGAAGACAGAGATCTTAATTAAGAAAGAAAAGTAAAAAAAAAAGTAAGAACTTTTTTGAGTCTAACGTCTGCGGAGGATCTACGAAAATGCACCAATTCTGTACACCGGTATTAACTGTCTAAATCTAAACAGCTAAAATTATAAATCGTAAATAGATTTTATTTTCTTCATTCTAAATTAGTGTACAATATATATATATATATATATATATATATATATATATATATATATACATCTATTTTATTTAATTTTTGTTCGTTCTGATTAATTTATTGGCTAACTTATTAAGAGTTTTTTTTAAACTCAACATTTATCATTTATTCGCGTGCATTATACCGATCCGTTTCAATTTATTTCCATTTAATTATTACACTTTTGGATACTTTTACTTTTAACAAACCGGGACCGATATCAATCAAGATTTAAATACCGTGTTAATTATGATAATGATTATGAATAATGGTAATGATAATTATGATAAAAAGGAACCGCTCGTTTAACGAACGAGTCAACTACGATTACTGAAATAAAAAAAAAAAAATAAAAAAAAATATGTGTGAGACACCGAGATAAACACTTTTAGCGCGTAGTGTGCGGTGTGTGATAATGCTCGCTGGCGACTGACTCTGTAATACCAGTACAAACATGCAGTGCAACATCCACCAGTTGCTTAAAAAAAAAAATGTAATTAAAATCACTGTTAACAATTTTAATTAAATTAAAAAAAAATCAAGAAACTAACTAATTATTTTGATTAAAATTTTTCGCATTATTAATGCCAAAAAAGCGTAAAAAATTTTTTTTCGGCTTTCAGACAAAAATTCTAAAGCCAAAAAAGCGTATCATTTTTTTTTTTTTAATTATTAGCCTTAAAAAAAAGAAAAGTAATAACACGTAAAAATAATAAAAATTCTATTTTTTTTTCCAAGTCCAAGAAAATTTTTAGTATGAAGAAAATTTTTTTTTTGCATTTTTGAACGTTTTATACAAAAATAATTCCTAAAAAAAAAAAAATTTTTTTTACACCCCCTTAAGGCTCTTAGGACTCACCTTAAATCGCATAAGGGCGTGAAAAATTTTTTTTTAGAATCGACGTATTTTTTCATGAAACGTGGAGAAATGCAAAGAAAAATTTTTTTTCATACTAAAAATTTTTTGGGACTTTTTCTTTAAATAAAATTTTACTATTTTGGTTTTTTTTTATTTAATTCAAATCCATGGAATTTTTTACCGGTGTTACAATTTTTTTTTAAGGTTAATAAATTATAATTAAAAAAAAAAAATTTTTTTCTTAAAAGAAAAAAATAAGATGATACTCGATATCATCCCAGATTATACTCAGTGATATTTGTAGTAAAAAAAATTTCAGATAGTAGCTAAAAAACTACACTCATTATAATTTGGATTATAATCATTGTAATCTGGATTTTTTTAGCAATTATCTTAAATTTCGTTTTACCACAGATATCACTGAGTATAATCTGGGATGATATCCAGTAAAAAAATTTTTTATGCACTTTTTTGGCATTAATAACGCGTTTTTTCACAAAAAAAAAATTGAAATAAAGAAATAATAAATCAGCGCGGTGGTGGGGCACTATCATGCTATGGTATGTCTTAATGATAGATAATAAGTAGCCTTTTTGTATAAAGTATATTGAGGTATTAAATCCTTGAATTTGAATTAACTGTACAGAATGTGTAGACATAGTGAATTATAATTACGGAATATATTTTATTCTCCAATTCAATATTTAAACGTTATACGTTTCAATTTTGTTTCAATACTTTCTATTGATTTGTATGTGTATATACATTAACTGTTTAATATTCTACTCTTAAATATTATTATTTAAATTTTTAAATTTAAATATTTTTTTTTTTTTTTTTTTCAGTTTACTCATACCGTAAATACAAGTATTTATCTAGAAATTATTTCTATCGTGCATTTTTATCTAGATCTCTAAATTCCTCCTATGGCGGAGCCTCAGTGATAATTTATTTTACTATTAATTATTATTTTATTTCATTAAATTATATATATTTATAAATATATATAATACTTTAAAGTAATATATTAACGACGCGATTTTTGTCAATAAAAATAATCCATTATTTATTTTATTAGTATCAAATTTTAAGTTTTAATAACATGAAAATTTTTATAGTAATTCATTATCGTCACATTCAATATTTATTTATTTATTTATTTATTTATTTATTTATTCCTTGTTTTTTTTTTTCTTTATTACAGTTACAGGTCCGCTAAAGGTAATTGTAATAAATGTATATAACGGAAAAGTTTTACATGCTGGTCACATTTTTTCTACACTGATAACAATTTTGGTAGATTTTTTAAAATTGCTTTTTCAAAGATGAGAAAAATTTATCAAAAAAATCTCTAATTTTCATTTAATTTTCTTAATTATTGACATTTTTAAAGATATAAACTCATTTCGATGTTACACTCATCAGGACCTTTCATTTAAGTACCCACATGGCATTTTTTATATATTTTATATATATAGTATTTGTGAAATATATAAATATATAAAATATATGAAAAATTAATGTGGGTACTCAAATGAAAGGTCTTGATGAGTGTAACATAGAAATGAGCTTATATCTTTAAAAATGTCAACAGTTGATAAAATATAATGTCATTTCTTAATTATTGACATTTTT